AATTTCTGTATTTTTCGCTATAGTGACTTTATTATTAGAGATACAGGAAAAAGCTAAATTTACAAAATGTAGTCCATTTAAAAATACTCATTTTTTGTATTTATCATCTTTCTCTAAACCCAACGGTTTTTTAGATATTTGTGATTAAGTATATTTAGTTTTTTTCTATTTATCAAAAATGGGGGAAACACATGGAAATTGTCGGTTACTTTCAAGGTTTAGGATAATTCATCCCATTTAGTTAAATAGTGTGATACTATAAAGTCTTAAAATTTAACTTTATCTTATGAGTAAAACAACTCCACTACAGCAAACCTGCAGACTCAGCAAATGTCTATTTGATTGGATGTTTTATTAAATGTATATAAATAAAATTAGGTTCAACTGGTACATAGGTTTGCTGCTACATGTAGTTTGTTATAGTGTGTTTTTTAGTAAAATATCAATAACTTAGTATCAAATAACTAATTTTTCATCATAATGCATCTATAAACAAGCAAACTACAACAGTTAACTTATTCATAAGAATAGCATGGGAGTTTTAAATTTACAATTTACAAATTTTGGTTGTTTTTAATAAAAAGGTGAAAATTCTTTGTCACGATTCGAATATTAACCTAAGGGGTTTTCTAAAGGAGATGGAGCAAAAGTAATATCAATTCGTACCAAGTATCAGAAATATTGAATGCAGTGAGGTAATCAACCATATTTTGTAAAGTACGCAATAGTCATATTAATATTTTATACCGTACTCATTGTTACCCATTTAATAAATTAACATTTTAATATTTTGATGGCACTACCAGCTAGTATCACTCCGATGTCAACTAAGTGGGATGAATAATTGTCGTAAACCTTGAAAGTAACCGTCGATGTGGGTTTCAATTGGTGAAAATGGGTTTCACCTATTTTTGATAAATAAAACTAACTATACTTAGTTTTCAAACAATGCTATACTATACTTAATTCGTTACTAACATGAACTAGACACGAAAAACAACCTTCCAAAATTTTTATATGGCTAGGGATGTAGGTCTAGTTAGTTAATGTGGTGGTGCCATCAAAGTATTAAAATGTTAATTATTAAATGGGTAAAAAATGAGGATAAAATATTAATACGACTATTTCGTACTTTACAAAATATGGTTAATTACCTCACTGCATACAATATTTCCGGTACTTGGTACAAACTAATATTACTTAAATAACTTTCTCCATCTCCTTTTGAAAACCACTTCAGTTAATAATCCAATCGTAACAAATAATCACAACCTTTTTATTAAACATACTAAAAATTTGTATATTCAAATTTGTAAATTGTAAATTTAAAACTCCCATGCTATTCTTATGAATAAGTTAACTGTTGTAGTTTGCTTGTTCTTATATTTATTATGATCAAACTTGGAAAATTAGTTATTTTATACTAAGTATTTGGTATTTTACTAAAAAAAAAAACACACCTTTTAGGTACCTGTTGAACCTTATTTTATTTATATACATTTAATAAAACATCCAATCAAATAGACATTTGCTGAGTCTGCAGGTTTGCTGTAGTGGAGTTGTTTTACTCATAAGATAAAGTTAAATTTTAAGACTTTATAGTATCACACTATTTAACTAAATGGGATGAATTATCCTAAACCTTGAAAGTAACCGACAATTTCCATGTGTTTTCCCCATTTTTGATAAATAGAAAAAAACTAAATATACTTAATCACAAATATCTAAAAAACCGTTGGGTTTAGAGAAAGATGATAAATACAAAAAATGTGTATTTTTAGATGGGCTACATTTTGTACATGTAGTTTTTTTCTGTATCTCTAATAATAAAGTCACTATAGCGAAAAATACAGAAATTTGCCGCCATTTTCCAATATGGCGGCCGTAGCACAGCTTCAATTTTAGGGGACTTTTAGTATGTTCAAAAGGAAGGTTTACCCAACATCTGTACCAAATTCCCCGGTTGTGCTAATTTTTTTTAGGTTTATGGAATTTTTCTCTTATTTTTACTGCACTAAAGGTGGACTAATTGCAGTTTAAGTCCAACTAATCATACTGTTTTAGCAAATTTGTAACCCATCTATGATACTTTTCAATGAAATGGCGACCATACAAAGTAGGTTTTATGCCAAGTATGAATGGAGATGAGTGTAGAATGAGTGGCGCGATCTTGTAGTCTTGTTAGTGACTAAGACCGACTTATTCCTTAGACACAGCTGTTAATTAACAGCCCATCTAATATAGGAACGATTTTATAACACGGATGCAGGTTATGTAAAAGTCCGTAGTTCAAAAAATGTTTTTAGAGCAAATCTTATGAGGCAAAGTATTCAAATTTTTAGAAAATGCAGTATAAAATTGTTTTTTTAATATGCTTCCCTTATAAAATTGTTTAATGTAAAACAAAACGCTTATTTTTTACTCCTCTGTCCCGAATTTAAACAAATTTTATGCAATAGAAAACAGAGAGTACCAAATTTCTCTACTGATATTTTGAGCAATCATGAAACGTAGAATTGTAATTCAAGACATCAGCCATTTATTTGCAAGCCTCAGCAGCCTAATCAGCGTTTGCTCACTACGCAGTAATGACCGACAGAGTGCACTTAGTAGTTTCTAACAAGCACCATTGAGGTAAGTAAGTGAGATGATAAAAATTGTAAATTATAAAAAGAAGTAAAAACATTCATGGAGTTTGACTCATGGTTAGCTGATTTTATTATGGTTTAAGACAACAACATCTTAGTCGTACATTGATTTTATCACAATCTTCAAAATTGTTTTAAGATTATTAACGATGTCTGTTAAAAAGCAAAGTTTTTCATGCATTTTTCAGCTAAGTTTTTAGCCACATAAGACATCAAATGTATCAATGATTAACTCCAATAAATTTGGCAATATCTCAAAAATTGTTTTTTAAATGCACTCTTTTTGGTTTGAACAAATACAGGTTATTTTGTTATTTTGTTATACACTTTTTATAAGTTAAAAATTAGTAGCAATAAATTATAGGTCCTACCCCTTATAAAAAAATATATTTAACTTGATGTAGCCTAAATTGCACAGTAATGAAGATATTATATAACAACTAGCTGACCCGGCGAACTTCGTATCGCCTAAGTTATAGGTTTCCCCTAAGACAGACCGATGGAAAGAAAGTACCGTTACGTTTAATTTTCAAGATGATCTCATTCGCATCGCTCAATCACGTCCTGGTTAAAGTTCGTTCGCTACGCTCACTCACCTTTGGGTTGGAGCTCGTTCGCTACGCTCACTCACCTTTAGGTTGGAGCTCGTTCACTGCACTCACTTGCCTTCAGGTTAGCTCGTTCGCTACGCTCACTCGCCTCCAGGTTGAAGTTCGTTTGCTACGCTCACTCACCTTTTGGTTGCAAATTAGCTGTTGTCATAAATGTAAAAGAAATAATAGCGCTGCACCCTGTTGGTAATCCTTGTAACTTTAATGCTATTGAACATCATAGAACAGAACCAACTTGTTTAATTGAAACAGCTGTTAAGATTCATTAATTCCATTTCTCATAAGGTTAACATGGGAAACTCCAGAGCCACTGGGGCGGAGCCCTTTTAAGAATTTCGAAACGGGAAATAGTTTACGTCTGATTCGCATACCTACAGAATTTACACACCAAATTTCATAACGATCGGTGAAGTCGTTCCGGAGGAGTTTGCAAACAAACACTGTGACACGAGAATTTTATATATAAGATATCTTCATTGCCAAAAACAACTTAACATATTGCATGGCATCCTTCACAAATATTTGCACACAAAATACATTTCATGACATAAATAGCTTATGATATGAAATATCAACGAAAAAATTACATAACATCAATAAAAAAATGGTACCGGTACCTATTTAATGGAACCAGAAACCCAGAACAGTTGAATATCATCCATTCATTTGCATTAAGAAACTCACCCACATTGTACAATTTGTGACGTTGGTAACCAAAAATCGTTTGAGAAGCGAATCGAGTATATTCTCCCTATTCTCTAATAAGTTTAGGGAGTTTATTTAGTAGGTAATTAATTGTCATAGTGATTCACTGATTGCCAGTAGGCCTACATAAAAGTCTTTGATACTTTTGGTAAACCAAGGTTATTTACCAAGTAAATCTTATAGGGTTTACAAACAATTAATTGATCAACCGGACAAAAAAAAACCAAGAAAACAAACAAACATATACATTTGCTTTGCTACTAGCCTAGTTTGTGGTTAGCGTTTGTGTACATTCTCTATACCTCGTTGAAAAATGCCACAGGTGTAGACAATGCCTGAACATTTTTTTATAAAGGAAGATTAGCTGTTTTACCGCTGAGTTTAACACCAGAGTAGGCATACATACTTAATATACTAGCCTACGTTGCTTTTTACCAAGCATAACTGACATTGAGCATTCAATTTACCCCTATGTAACTTATGTTTTGACAAATCCGGATGAAGCAGTTTAAGGCTTCGGCCCACTGATTGAAGATTCCTCTATGTAACAAATGTGAAGTGAATTCTACCCGTCATTGACATTACAATCTTTTTAACAAAATCTACAGATCTACCATTGTTACATGTAGTATAGACCACAGCCACTCTCCTCTCTTTTCAACCGATAGAAAAGCATAAATTTAAAATGACCAATCTGTCCGGCAAAAACTAAGCTTGGTACTTAATTATATCGACCACACTGATAAATCAACTTCTAAATAAGATTTTAATTAGTTCAAATAACGAAATCTTCCGTAAAACATAGTTACTTTTAGGTTAGGTTAGGTTATAAATGTTAGGTGTGTTCCAGTATAATACATAGGTAAAGTACTGTAGGCCTACCCTAAGCTTGACTAACCTTATCAAACTACTGTGTAACTAAATCAAGAGCACAATGAGAAGTGACCAAGCCTTCCTAATTCGTTCCGCACATTCGTTTTCCTTACTTAGGCCTATAAGTTGAGAGCCAATGTAAAAATGCAATATTGAAACTCACTGTGTATTGGGTCCATGAACCTTTATGGACATATCCAAGATCAGCTGGCGTAGTTGACAAAATGCCAACCTCCAACGTCGGGAAGCCACTTCTGAAACAGGGACGATCGGTGAAATGGACGCTTTAGGAATATTTATTAGACCTAATGAAAATTAATGTTTAAATATTTTTAGGTAGGCCTAGTCAAGAATTATGTCTATGGATAGGATAACATTATACAAAAATAATCCCAACACATTGTAGACTAGTTGGAATGCTTCAATAATTCAAACTGCCCCAATTTTTTTGTGGTTTCAATCAAGTTTTTACAAGCAGTACTTAAAGCTAGTTAATTACCGGTAGGCCTAATTTTTTCTTAGGCCGCTATTAGCTGTAAGTTGCCCAGCAAGTCGCTCACTGCTAATGGCGGCCTTTAAAAATTTACCTAACTTACCTAAATAGACCAAAGTTCATAAGCCTTCTTTCACACCAGTGCGGTGCGGGACCGTCCCGCACCGGACGAAGCTGTTTAGACTAATGAATCATATGGGAGCTTTCACACCAGTGCGGGTTGACCCGGACAGACCTAAACCTCCGTCCGGGTTGAAAAATCACCCGCACGAACCTAAACTTCCAATGCGGGTCGAATACGCAAGAATAGTTTTTAGATCATGGGTTCTTATGTACGCTTTCACACTTGCGCGGGACGGGCTGGTTTTGCCCGCACATAAATCAGTAGTTTTGACTGTCTATGCATATCAGTGGTTGAGTGTGGTTGATTTTGTTGTACTCTTGTTAATAGGCAAGTTTGCTGTTCTTGGTATTGAGGTTGAAATTTATATAGAGATTATTAGTTTGGTCAAGCTTTATATTTTGGTTTAGTTTGAAGGTCAGCGTGTACGATGAGACCTCAACTGCAGCAAACCATCTTTCATTTGCATGTTTAAATTTTTATTAAACATGTCTGATTTATTTAATATAAAAACATTTAGCTTAACGACCCCTTACATGTTCTTCTAAATATATGGAAGGAAATGAATTGTTGTTTAAGCTAAAACCACCTACAAATATGTGCATAAAAATATCAACCATGTATCAACCATATATCAACTACAGAATTACTTTATTTCCTATAGTGCACTTAAATAAAAAAATGGTCCCAGATGTTATAGTATATTTCATAACAATAGTAGAAAGTGAGTCATTACATATTTGAGATCATGTTTGAAGTGCGAGATTCATCCCACAGCTGTCACCATAACTTTTAAAAACACAAGGAATTGACATTTTTACACACACGGCATCAATCCAATTAGGTTATTTAGCAAGGGGGCACTGTATTTTATTTTCGGATCCAACAAGTAGCATAACCACCTTACTTTTATTTATTTGAATGAAATGCATCCAAAAATCACAAAGTTTCAGCCTGGAAATGCCCGGATCCGGGCAGCTAGTGTGAAAGGGCCTTGCGGGTCGCCCCGCATCGACGGTGCGGGACGGTGCCGCACCGCGCTAGTGTGAAAGAAGGCTAAGGTACAGAATAGGACCAGTGGACCATTTCTTTATTTCAGGGCCCTCCGAAGCAATAAAAAAACACCTGATTATTTAAATTTTTTACATTATCTGATTTTTATATATAGACTTTCATAAAGTCTTGTCTACTAAAATCATTCTACTCTTGGATTAAACGGTCTTGGGTTTGGGGGGGGGGGGGGGCATCATCTATTTGAATCAGTTTGCTAACAAGTCCATATAAGTTAACATGGAACATGGGATAGGTTAGGTTTTGTCAATCTTCGTTTACACATTAATTGGGAAACAATATAGAATATGATTAAGTTATCACAAAGAGAATATGAATATCAAACACAGAGAAGTCACAGATTAATACAATTGAAAATTACTGATAGGTTCAGGATCGATATTTTTTGTCAATAACTTAGTCTACATTTGAGTTGAATATAGGAGTTTCAACGAGTGTATTTTCAAGAATCCTCCAGATTATAAGATTGAAATGACTCATCATAAGTTATTGCTTCTGGTCCAATACATCCTTTGTTCGGTAGGTGTATGGCTCTGGGGAGTGGGATTTTTTGCTTGGATACCAAGTACTTGTGCTTTTCTGTTACTTTCCTCATTATCTAATAAATTATTACCGTACCTAAGTCCATTTAAAATTTAGAGTCATAGCCTTGACTATCATATGATAGGCCTAGACCTAGGACCTTCAATCAACGCATCTGACACGTTAAAATAGGCCTTAATTTTCAGTTTAATTGATATTTGTATAAAAGTTGAGTTCATAGTTTATTAAAATGCATTGCGAAAACCAAACTAATCAACGACTAATACGGCATTTTATTTAAATTAACTTAATCTGTTCTGGTGATCCATGATAGAAACATACATGCTACTGGCTAGCCTAATCTTATTTAAATAATCAAGGACAGTAATCAATTAAAAGATGACAACTAGTTTGTCTAGAATATTATTCTTACCGTTTAAATCTATATTAACAGGGTTCAATAAATAACTGAAGAAACTAAACGAAACAATACTAACTACGAGCAAACACAATCAGAATTATTATTGCAGACGACAAACAACAGCAACAGCAAATTAAATAAAAATTATCAGTTTTTAACTCAAAGACCATCAGCTGTCATTTCTCTCAGCCTTTTATATTAAAGATATGGGTTTTCTAGTCGTACTATATACAAGTAATATTGTGTTAATTATGTTTAACTCATATAATAATGTAAATGAATGGTTTAAATTCTGTATTATGGGGATTTTGAAATTCTTTAATCCAGTGGTGGTAGCATAGATAAAACATACTTGTGGTAGGTTCTGTTCTGAAAATCTAGTGATCAGTGGTAATTTCTATGTACATCTTGATTCTTCATCGTCCATCCAGAGAGGAGGTCACTGTAATTAATGTACTGCGAAGCGAAACAAGCTATGTGTTCTACCGTTCTACGGTATGTTACTTTGAGACCCCAGGCTTCCCACACGACGTTCAGTAGAGATGCTATACTACCAACATCAACACCTGGGACTATGACGTGAATGTGACTGAATCGATGGTGGATGGTGGACACAAAACATCATGACTGTGCAGTAATTCTGAAGGTGAAGACGAACCAGGTAATTGACAATCGTCTTTCTGGTAGTTATTGTACATAGAAAACAATGCTGGTAGTTAAATTGAAGCAACCAATGAACTGAACGACTCACGTAGTGGCAGACGCCAGTCTCAGCCCATGGTGGAATTCCACCATGTGTAAACATAAACATTTTCTAAATACAGTTCATTACAAATTAGTGCGACTCGGTTTGACGGGACATCAGCTGTGTTGCCACTTATTTTGTCTTGCCACAGCCTTGTATTGTATTAGAGGAGGCTATGCAGAGAGTCAAAGCAAAACATTCTTAAAAATTCATTTAACCACAAAATGGCAATACCCCGTGGGTACATATTGCGAATCAAACAGTTTCGCTCACTCAGTATTCAGGCTGTGGAGGAGGAATGCGGGCACTTTTTCACATTTTACCATCGATCATGCGAAAAATAGCCATCACAGTTTAGACCAGACAAGGGACAGCATTATTGATATTTTCAAAACAAACCCATTGTTCGAGAGTGTTTAGAGAGTGAGCCCAATTCATACTAAAGCTTTACTGTGATTTAAAGAAAGACTAAGTTTAGTACCAAGGAATAAAATCACACCCCTTTTTGAGCTGATGTGTTAATATTACTACCGCTGAATGCTACTACATTAACCAGGGGTAGTAAATTCCTACTGTTCAACAATAAAACCAAAGAAGACTTATTTTTTTTTTATTTTTAACATTCTTGTCTATTTTATTTGCAACATAAGAAATGTAAGATAAATTAATGTGTTCGATTGCCAGGTTAAAATTTACATAATAATACATTGAAATTCCAGTAAAACTTAAGCGATTCAATTTTGAGGGTTGTGTTATGATATGAAGAAAATATACCACGTAATTTTTATGTCACATTCAATTACGTCAATAAAATTTAATTAACTGCAATAGTAAGATGATCCGTGGACCGTTGTCTACTTATGGGCCTTTTGGTGTCCTTGTTATCATCGACAACGTACTGTGTTTGACGATTACGCTAGCGCTACTAGCATGTATCACCCTAACTAAGGCGCGAAACAGTTCGTCTAGTCACCACTAGGTGTCACACTGTGTCACTGAGCCTAATTTTAGAGAGGTGTATTTATATTAACAAATAACTTTAAATTATCGGATACAAGAAATAAATTCAGCCTAAACTAAAATAAACTACCATTTTTAATGACAAGTTAATGGAAATTGATGCGATTTTAAGCCGGGGTTGTTTACTATGAGTAATCTGTATCCGTTGATACTCGCAGTGATTTTTGAGAAGCTACTTGACTACACCGCTTACAAGCAATTTCTCTATACGCTTCTCTGCTAATCAACCTACGAAGGACAGTTGAAGTTACTGATATTATTTAAAAAGCCGAGAGTCGTGTCTCTTCCCTGAGACCGATGATTGGCTTAAAATCAAATAACTTGAGTTAAACCATAGACATAACATAGGGAAGGGACTATGTTTTATCTATGGTAAAACGCACTCGCTGGCGGTGATTAGAGCGTATCCACATCCAGTTATTCAATAAGGTTCACCCTGCCTAAAATCGAATAGTGTCCATTTATACAAGATTGTGATAATAAAAAAATTAAAACTCACCTTAAAATCACCCCACTATATGAGACCCCACTAGGTTTGTGATGCAATGATGCATTTTAATAAATGGGAAATTTATGTTTTGATTATAAATTATTTATCACATATTGATTGCAAGTTTTGCTTTTTAAACAAGACATTTTAGTAAATTACAGTTTTGAGTAATTTGTTTCATTATAACAATATAATTACATAATTGTAACTGCAATAGTTATTTGTGCAACTAGTGAGAAAAGTGAGCAATTGACTCACTCGAGAGAAATCCTTACTCACGAGCCGTAGGCGAGTGAGGAATGGTTTCTCGAGTGAGGCAATTGTACTTTGAACTCGAGTTGCACATTATACTTTTCCTACAGTTACCATAAAACAAATAAATTGGTGAAGAAACATAACCTATTTTTACACAGAAGTGAACTTTGAATATAACATTTAATGTGAAGTAATATATACAACAGTACAACAGCTGACCAGCTGATTTACAGCCAGTGCTGCCAACGTATTTCGCGCGCATACACGTTGCCTGCATGTTACGCGCTCACTATTTCGTGCCTTCACGTTGCAAATCTGGAGTGAGACAAAGTAATTAGAGTGAGACAATGTTAACATTGTCTCACTGATGAGCGAATTGGCCACTTTGCTTTCTCAAATCAGTGAGAGAACATGTACATTGTTAGGTAACTGTAGGAAAATTGTATTTTGAAGTCTATTCATTGAATGCCATTTTGAGAGATGTATTTTTTGCAAGAACATGGTTTTTGTTTGGACAAAAGCGGTAGATTCAGCTTTTAATGCATCATTTAGTAATAAAAACTAAGATCAAAACAACGAAGGACGGGTAAAAAATCAAACACCAAAGATAGAATATTGTTAGTTTTTATTTTTGTCTTGAAGGTTTAAGGTTATCCCAAACAATTATTGTTTATATTGTTATTGCTTCAAACACCTTAACTCAAACTGATGTTGTTCTGAAAATAATAAACAAACATTATTATATAAGAAACTATTAATTGAAAGACCATTATTACTGTAATAAGAATAATTAATTTATACCCATTCATAGTTCCACCGTAAATGTCAAAATTTAAGGATCACTGCAGTGTAGCATCGTTGGTGCATGTCAGGGTTTTAAAAAACTTAAAATATTGGGAAACGAATTTACAAAACGAACATGTTAAGATCTTGATTACTATTTGCACCAGAGAGCAAATTTGCACTTATAAAATTCTGTCAGAGTACATTACTTTATACCGTTTTACACGATATTCCAGAGGAAATAGTTCCTACCTATAAATAAATAAATATATTAAACCATAAATATCAAACTAAATCCGTAATAAATAAATCTTACAAAAATATTAATAACTAGTCTTAAGCAGTTATTTTTTATTTTCTTACATCATGTCCACACTGAAGAAGGCGAGCAGCGATTTCACATTTGTCAAATCCCTTCCATTCTGTAACAAATGGATAAAATATGAACCAATGTGAGTGCCAACTATAAAACATGTCAGAAGTCAGAACCCATGAGCTATTCTGTTAATACCTACAGTATTTTCTAATCTAAAATAAATCTTAAGAATAATTAGCCTGAAAATTGTGATTCTAATAGATTTTTTCATTAAAATCATAATTGAAGCAACCAATGAACGACTCACATAGTGGCAGACACCAGTCTCAGTCTCCTCTAACACAAGGTCCCCTGGGATTGGTGTCTGGCAACGTCGCAACGTCATTCCTATTTTGCCATGTTAATAATTCAGAAATAACAAAAGTGTAAACATAAACATTTCCTATATAAACGTCCATTACAAATTAGTGCAACAGCTGTTTCGGTTTGACGGGACAGCGGTGTTGCCACTTATTTTGTCTTGCCGCAGCCTTGTATTGTGAGGAGGCTATGCAGACAGTCAAAGCATAACATTATTTAAAATTCATAGCCACAAAATGTCAATACCAGGTGGGACATAATGCGAACTAAGCAGTTTCGCTCACTCAGTATTCAGGCTGTGGAGGAGGAATGTGAACATTATCACATTTTACCATTGATCATGCATACCATTTCAATAGCCATCACAGTTTAGACCAGACAAGGTACAGCATTATTGGTATTTTCAAATCAAACAAGTCGGTGATTGCAACGCTAAGATGCTTTTTGCCTACATCTCTTTATTCCTCTCAACGACACTGTTCCTCACATACATACAGTACGATCCTTGGTCAAACAATCCGATGAGACCGGTACCACTCTTAAAACTAAGAAACACAAACGGTGAAGATCAGGGAGACACGGAGAAATATAGTTTTTAAGATCAGCGGAGTTAGAGTTGCTTGAGCAGCTGGCAAGGCGTTGTAGATTGAGAAAGTTACTCCTGACACTTTAAAAACACAAGTATCTCTGTTTTTTACACTCAATTCTAATTTTAAAATTCTTCTCAAACTACAATGCATTCTAGCGGATTGTCTCAACTACTACTCATCTGCTGCTCTGAACAACACTTAAAGTTCTCACTGATCTTTGTCCTCCTAGTTTATCATTTTTAAGGTTGCTACCACTTTCTCCAAAATTTCTTAACAACAATTGTGTTCACACTAGAAACAGCCAGCAAAAAGCTGTTTTTGTCGCAATGACTGACTTTTTATATTGGAAATACGCAAACACAGCATACCCTCGACGTTGTCTGGTTTAAACCATATGTCTACCATGAGTATCCTAATGGCATGGAGTGGCAGATGACAACAATACCAAAAGTGTTCGCCTGAGTACTATAGTCTGTTGACAAAATTTAGGCAGATGGAGGGGAAAGTTCCCTTACTACTCTTCTTGCTTATATGTCACAGCTGATTAACATTTTGTCAAATCTCAGCTGTTGAGCTATTGTTTAATTATTTTAAATGAAGGATCAAAAGTGAAGGGGATTAACTGCCCCTAAAACTACCTTTTTGAGCGAGGTAAGTATTCAAGTGGAATTGCTTAATCCGATTTTGCCGCACACCTTGCATAATGGTATTTCAGGACCATTTTACGATGATTATATATTAATTAGTCTCTGACTATACACTACCGTTCATTTTAACACTGCAGGCTGCTATAGCTTTAGCTGCTGCCTCAAGCTGGGCTGGTTCTGTGGCGTAAGCCTTTCCGAAAAACTCAGAGAAAGCATTTGTGTCTACCTGGCTTCCTTTCATCTGTAAAAATGAGGGAAAGATGAAAGTTTATACAGTTTAAAAGTGTTTAAATAGCATCAACAAACACAGGCTATTAGGAAATTATAAGTTTAGTCCACAAAATAAATATATTTTATGGATGGATTTGAAATCATAAATCATTTTTTATAGATTAATTTGACTTATAAACCTTTTCTCCAAAGATTAATTTATATTTGGAACTGGTAAGTAATAGTTTTTACAAACTTCATCACGGTAGACTTAAGATTACAAATTTAAGAAAAATGTTGAACCTGACTTGATATAAGACTACAGGTTGGTTTCAAAAATGGTTTTATGAAGAGTGTTCCTCTTCACAACTTCTCCTGAAAATGTTGGGTAAATTTATTTAATCCAAAATTCATCAAAAATAGAGAGTCGAAGCAGATAATAGGAAAAAGTTGTTTATATCCACTCCATACTATAGTGTTTTCTATAGTTTGTCTTAATTTTCATCTTTAATACTTTTAAATCAAAACTGTTCAATAAGAGAACCTATTTCTGAGAAAAGGTCAATCATTTATTTAATGCTCTTTTTTCTAAATATAAAATTATACTCACCAAACCTTTAGTTTCCAGCAGACAATGCATCATACACTGAAAGAAACAGAAATGGATAAGAAACAACATAAGCAAGAAAAGCGTTAATTGCTAATTGTATCAAAAATACTAAATACCCCTGCCGCAGAAAACCTGACGACTAATGTAATTTCCATTCGGCTGAATTGATTTTCAAATTAAATCTGAATTAAATCTGTTTAAATAACATTAGTTTTAACGAGTACCTAGGTTTGCTACTTCAAGGAAACTAATAAAGTGTGTTTTAAGTAAAGGATAAATAGCTTAGTGTAAAACAAATAAATTTGCCAAGTTTAATAAAATATATCCATAAACAAGCAAACCACAACATTTTACAATATTCTCCATAAGAATTATTATACAATATTCTACAATTATACATTGGAATTTTAAATTTACAATTTTTTCAATTTTTACCGTTACCAAAACCCGTATAAACTTTGATAAACTAAAATTATTTGTTTTTTTAAGTTCTTCAAAAGGTCTAGGGAGAAATTGGGAAATTTTGTGTTTTGAGGGTTAAAATGAGAAAAACCAATTTTTACTCCATAAAACCCCGTTTTCATGGTCCGATCATACTAGTTCACAAACTCATTCAAGTCTATCCCGCCTTACACCTTTAGACCAAATTCCATCAAAATCAGACAAAAATTGCTCAAGTTGTTCACGGACACACACACACACATATCTGTATGAACAAATTGTGTTTTTGACCTCTGGGGACATAAAAATGAAAAAATAAAACGGTCCTGGGATTAGGTCTTACCGTGCCACCCACGGTAAAAGCTTCTTCTGTAGAGGGAAATTCCCTAAAAGTGATAATACACCTAATACCTAATATATGAATTTTTTCAATAAGAATATAAATAATTTTATTTTTAACTTATTTTGAATTTTAAAATACTGTGTAAAAGTCTGGTAAAAAAAAAATTATAATGAGCAAAATTAAATTCACCTATAAAAATAATTGTACAATATAGTATGCAAGATTCTTGTTTACAATTTAACAAGAAAATACGGTAAGTATGTTTTACCTTTTTTATGAGGTTTGCTGCTAGTATTTTTATAAAATGGATTTGTAGATTTTTAGTTATAAAAATGTTTAAAAGACAATATATATTTGAGTTGACTGTTTATTATATTTTTACATCTTACAGATACACTTACCTTTCCTTCAGGCGATGAAGGAAGTTTGTGACTATCAATAATGTCCAACACATCTGAGAACAGACAAATAAAAAAAAATTAATTGAAAAGCTTCAAAACCGTTAATTTTTTTAACAATTTATTGTAAAAATTGAGAATTTAAAAACAATCCCCCACAAATTTAACACCAATAGAGTGTTGGATCATTTCTGGGGTGTATAAAAAATACTAGGCATGCGGCCTCAGGTCCGCCAATTGAGCGGAGTAAGCAAGCTTTGATATAAACAAATAACTTAAATTTGTTTTAATGATTCAAATTGAATACATGATGACGTCACCATAGCAACAATCCAATTGAATTCTCGTGGTTGGTTGGTAGAGTTGAAGGAAATATGAATCCAGTCAGCTGTTTCTATTAGATCATTGATTTTTAATTGTATATATGAGTAATAGTAAAACTGTGTGTTTGTAATAGCATAAAGATAAGTGTTATTTTCTCCCATTTATGTCCCTCCCTTTTCATTTTCTCCAAATAAAACATTTAGCCAATTAGTAAACTTTGCTCAGCGAACAGAATGACTGAAGAAGGTGACTATATATAGCAATACCATAGTCAATGGTCAACACAGGAAATAAGGCGTGGCTAATTTCACGAGCTGATGATACCCTGAAAAAGATGGTGGTTGCCGCAACGCTTGTGGCATTGAATTGGTGACGTTTGCGCTAGCTCCACCCCATTGCCAAAATATAGGCATATATACTGTACTCAATAAATAGATTAGATTTGAAAGACGGTACTGGATAGAGAATTGATGAATTAAACAAGAATATACTTATTCCTCATGCTAAATTACAGCATGATTAAGTAAAATACTGTATATGCATAATAAACTACTGTACAACAAAATTATTAAAATCAAATATAAAAGACGTTTTTATATTAGGTATGGCAATTTAATTTGAGAACCTGCACTGTGTTGATGTACCCTTAAGCCTATTTATTGGGTTGTACTAAATTTTCAACCTGACATAAAAATGCCAACATGCTGTTCTGTTAGCTGTAATAATTCATCTTATAGTATTACGGAAAAAATAGGAATATTATATCACGCTTATTTTATAACTGGACTCCCGTACAGGCTAAGCAGTCTAGGCTCTACTTTTTGCAATTATTACCTTATTATCTTCATCTTTTACCCAAAAGGGATTAGTGGCGTCAGACTTTCAAATAAAAAATATATACATTTAAATAAACAGACATAAATTACTGAACATATATTTACAACATTGGCATGTGTAATTGTAACTGTGTCTGTATATCTGAACAAAGAAAATTATTTCCACACTTATAAGTTATAAATTGGACAGCACAAGTTAACAAGTATAGTTAAATATATTAAATATAAACATTTTAGGATTGTAGATACCTTAATCTAATCGTCATAAACAGTTCCCACACTCCAAACTACTCACCTCTACTACTTCCTTCACCACTTCCTACGTCGCGGACCTGTTTCCCTCCCTTCCCATAGCATTTTAAGATTGTAGATACCTTAATCTAATCGTCATAAACAGTTCCCACACTCCAGACTACTCACCTCTACTACTTCCTTCACCACTTCCTACGTCGCGGACCTGTTTCCCTCCCTTCCCATAACATTTTAGGATTACAGATACCTTAATCTAATCGTCATAAAAAGTTACCACACTCCGGACTAATATTTACCACAAAACTAATAGCAATAACAACAATTAATAGAAATAATCTCCTTGGAATAATTCAGTAAGGCCGCCAGAAATTATGCGAATCGGTGTATTGTTAATCACCGCTTAATGGTATTCATCGGACTCCTTTTCTTTTGTACTGTCTTTTGTAAATAGGCCATATGTTCATGTGCAAGCTGAGGTGCCCGTGGGTACAGAATGTCGAGTCGCATACGCTACGATACTTTGTTTACATCTACGTTGTTTTTTCGTAACCATCATGGCAACTCATAAGACTCATGTTAAACATTGCAAATTTTATGTCAGTCTTAAATTGTACAGGTATCATCAAATTAAAATTTGTTTGTTTCGAAACATCAAAAATATTTGTCGAAATACGCCTGGTAAGTTTGGATTCAATATGTTCAGTCGTTATTGAGTTAATTGATTACATAGTTTGCATAAGGTCCGATCTCAAAGAGCTTCGCTCGCTCCGCTCAACAAAACCAATTTACTAAATACATACCATTTTCTAATTTCTTCTACTGTACTTACCATATCAGATGTTATTTTGGTTGTTTTAAATTATCTTAAATCTTGGAAAAGTTATTCCTTGAGCCAAACCAATAATTAGAAACCATGTATTGGCACCTTTTACCAATTGTTTCAAAGTCAGTAGGGCTTTTTAATGTTTCTTTTTTGGAAAGACAACAGTCCTATGCCTGGTCTCGCAACATAGGTACTTTCTGTTATTAAATTAACATTACTTGCCCAATGGCAAAAGGCAAGTGGGTTCAAAACTAACTGTACTTGAGATATGTTATAGTAATATTTCATCTTATAACTATTTACAAGAACAATTCATCAACCTTATTTGAGTAAATTCTGGCATTGTGAAATTGGGAAAGGTCCCCTATGTCTGAAGATAACCATCCATAATGAAGAATTAAATTAATTTTAAAATGTTCAACCTAGACTTACCCTCTTTCGCTTGTGTTTTCTGTTTGCATTCTTTCAAAATCTCAATTGCCCTGCTTTTGTCCACCCCTGCCTGAAATATAGAAACAAATAAATTAATTAACTTATCTCATTATAGCCATGAAGCATGAGTATATATTTTTAATTTTAATTTCTTTATTCATTGAGAAGTATACATAATACAGCATTTGAATAGTGTCAAAGATTACAATATATTACAACATTATTGTAAGAGAAATATCACTAGCACAATGTTAAAGTATCGTAAAAACTGATTTCAACGAACATAGAGGAGTTGCAGATTATTGGACGGTAAAAAAAGGTAACTGAACTTCAACTTCAGGTAGAAGATGGAGTTCTTCAACATGCAATATCAATATGTAAATTTTAACTTATATTTTAAAGTTCAACCTTACTCTATAATTTTTGAGATATGCATGTATAATTTTGGTATGAGGGTTTAGAAAAGGTGTTGCTTATCACATACTAGTAGAATATAATAATTATGATGTATGATAATTTCTTAACTTACTTGGACTAAATTTAGGCCACACGACACAACACAAAGCAACACTACAAGTTTCATGGCTGAAGTCTTAAACAGCATAGTGAAGGACATGTGTTTATATATGAAGGAGATATCTGCTTGAATAAGCTTAAAATGAGGAAATAATTGTGTATTTCAACAGAATACATTATCAAGTCATCATTGTCTGTTCTTTTGTAGCTGGAAAATTGGCGAATCGCATTACTATGATAAAGAGCAAGAATTTCTGCATTCATTACCATATTCCTAATGACTACCTGCAATTATTTCATCGTTAAGGATCACTCGAGCATTTAAGTTAAATTTATTATTAAATGAGTAATTCTTTTGCTATTCTCGTCAACAAGTTTTGTTTTTGCTAGGTACAGTAATTTAAAGTTATCGATTCATTGAAAAAAATAAATTTAAGTATAATTTTCCTCAATAAACAATTAACTTATATAGTCTTTTACTTTTAATAAACAGAGCCATCCTTATCAATTAATTGTGAGGCCCGGAACTAAACATTTGCAAGACTTTTAAACAAACATTTGCAAGACTTTTTTAACAGATTGAGATGAGGTCATTACCCCTATCAAGGTAGGGGGGTTACTTCTGGAAAGGGGGTTTAAGTGCAAAACCCCCATTTCAAGTATAATTTTGAGATGTTATTATCTTGTTCGTTTATATAAAAAAAACTGAAATTACAAAACAAACCCTAAAAATAACAATAACATTTATTCTTAAGGCCAATACAGGCGTAATAATGTAAAATATAATCATAATGTATAATATAAAATATAAATAGGCCTGTATATTATAATTTTAGTCATCAGGAAATAAGTAAATAATAATAAAATTAGAGTTTCTTAGAGTTTTAATTAATTAATAATCAATAACTACTTGAAGGATACGTAGTTTACAAAAGCTAAACTGACACTGGACAGATCAAGAGAAATTCGGTAGGTTCGTTAAGAATTTTTATTTATAGGACATTAGGTCTACTGTATAGTGGGGTGTGCTGCTAAATTATTTTTTTCAAAAATAAAACAATCCTAAAGCGATCAGACTTCAGTGCCATCGAGTTCGATTTCCAGCACACCCACAAAACATAAAGGTTTGGCCATTGCCTTAAACCATTTATGTGCCGATACCTCATTTGAAAATGTATCGAGAACCAACCATTGGTATGAACAAAAGTGGATACTCTGGGTACGCTAACTTCACGGACCTGGATGGAGTATGGAGTCGACAATAAGAACAAAATTAATAGTGTAAGACATTACAGTTCCAATGGAGAAAGCTTAAATCAAATTATAAAATATTATTTGGCCATTTGCATTTTTACAATATAGGCTATTCATTCATGTACTGTATGTTATATTGTACAAGTACAACATGAACTTAAATTAAATATGGAAAAACAAACCTAAAAAATACAGCAAGTCCAAAACAGCAAACCATGCAAAGATGATTAAAATGAATATTGAGCCAATAATTTATTAACCCACCAGTTGTAATCAACCTTCAACTTAGGTCTACAATGGAAACTCCATGTACAAAATCGAAACTTAAATTTATTAATTATTATACAAATCTGATAGTGAAAGAAAAGAAAGGGGGTTCACAATAAATTGTACAAACAGTGGGAAATGAATTTACTTTAAAAAAACTTTAGGCTAGGCCTATTACAATGGTTTTAATTATTTAAGTTCAATATGTTATAATTTAGGCTACTGCAAGGATCTTTCTCAGGGGGGGGGGGTGATCGAGCGGCATTTGAAATTAATCTTGTGATATAAGCCTAATTAAATTTTGTTTTAAAATATAAAGTATGTTCGAATTATAGATTGGTTGAATTAATAATAATTTTGAATAGGTTAAGCTTCTATAAGTTCTTGACTTTGAATTTGAGTACAAATGTCCAAAGGTTGGGCCTAAAAAAAGTTTTAATGGCTTCCAAAGGGGTAAAAGTCTATTGGAGTAATCTCACCAAAATTGATGTCTTCTTTGAAGTAAAGTTCTTGATGTTGTAAATTATGAATGTTCGTCACAAGGATGGTTCTTCTTTCAACAAATTTCACAAATTTTGTCCGAATAATGTACTTTTCTTTATAAAATTTTAATATATGTAGTGTCTAATTTGCATCTTCATACTATCTTGGCTCTATTGGAAGTGATGATGGTCTGATGTATTGTTGCACTCACATATGTCAATGCCGACTTAATAACATAAAATTATAGGCCACTGTTCACAAATATATTATAACAAATTTCATTTGCTAGAGAGCTGAATTATAATTTTGAAAAGTTATTTAAATAAAATTATATTGAATTTGAAGCAATTTTGTTACAAAAGTTATAGGCTATTATATATTTACATGATATTAGGTTATTTGAAAATTTCTATATTATATTGTATTAAATTGATTACCTATTGGTCTGCATGGACAATTAATTACTATATATGGTTTGAAAAGGGATTAACGTTTGAAAAAAATGAAAACATATGGTGGAAATTAAATTATTCTATTAAAAAAATATTGGTGAAAATATTGAATTGTTACACAGTTTGTACTAGAAACACACCTTCACACTCACCACCCACATATACAGGGTGGAAAAAGTCCCAGGATAGCTAAATATTTCAAAAATTTAAAAAAGTAGATTTTTAAAACTTGGTAGGGTACACACAGCTACTACTTAAAATCATTAAAACACATATTATTCAGTGATGCACTTGCACTACCTCCTCAGGGGGACAGCCCACTAGGAGTCAGAAGAAAAGCTTAAAATGTAAGCACATCAAATTAAAGGTCTTTTGTTAGTAAAATACAATACCGCAAACCCGAACACAAACGAACAACCGAGTCAAAAATAACAGCTATTCAAAGATGAATTAGCATTGTATTGTGTTTAGGTACTACCACAGACAATAAGGAAATAAAAGTTTCCTTTGTTTCCTTGTCTGTGGTACTACACAATTAAGTCTTCAACACTATCACTATACACATAATCAGTTTCTTCTTCTAACTGAATAATGTGTTTTAATGATTTTAATGCCCAATAGTTGTGTACCAAGCTTTAAAGCTCTAGCTCTATTACTCTTTTATAGCAGTTTTTATTACTAGTCCCTAAGAAAACATTTCTCACTTTGAAAAGATATCAGATGTTCACAACTATTGTACTAGATCTAAAGATAATCTGTCTACACTAATGCATAAGTATAAGCATATAGATAAAACATACTCCCTTAAGCCACTCAAAATAGTTTTGAGTACCAAGGTGTTAAAATGTACAATTTCTTGCCTGCATCCATCAAAAACCTGTGTGTTTCAAAATTTAAACAAGTTTTAAAAACAACTCTTTTCCAGGCTTGCCTGTATAAACATGAAGACTACCTACTTTTGGTTTAGAGTTTTAGTTATTTTAGTTGCCAGAGCCATCTTGATTGTTTTGTTTTTCTTTTTATTTTGACGATTGTCATGAACTTTGTACTTAGTTTTAACACAATAAAGTATTTCATTTCGATTTCATTTAAAAAGTGACTTTATTGCAGGGAGAGATTGCATTTTTACGCGCGAGGAAAAATCTATCGATCCCCGCAAATGGCACTTTTTAGACGAGTATTGCTTGAACATTATTTTTAATTACGATATCCAAAAATCTTGTAAACAACATGACTATTGTGGTTTATTCAACTTAGTACCTATAAAAAAAATGAAATGAAATGATTTATTGTGGTTAAATCTAAGTACAAAGTTCATGACAATCGTCAAAAGAAAAAGAAAAACAAAACAATCAAGATGGCTCTGGCAACTAAAATAACTGAAACTCTAAACCAAAGTACTCTTCATGTTTACACAGGCAAGCCTGGGTTAGAGTATAGTTTTTAAAACATGTTTGAATTTTAAAACACACAGGTTTTTGATGGATGCAGGCAAGAAATTGTACATTTTAACACATTGGTACTCAACACTATTTTGAGTGGCTGTATACTTATGCCTTAGTGTAGACAGATTATTTTTTGATCTAGTACAATAGTTGTGCACATCAGGGTATCTTTTCAAAGTGAGAAATGTTTTCTTTTAGGCTACATATACAACAAACTTGCCAAAACATACAAAGATGGAAATGTGAGAATGTTAAGACCAACAAAAAGGGGCTTACTGGCTTACAATGTGTTCTATTCACACTACAAATTAACCTCACCGCCTTCTTTTGTAAAGCACCTGTCAAAGTCAAACAGAATTCATAACGTGAGAGTTTCCATGGAAGTACAAAACAATGCAACAGCTGATCGGTCTGCACAGCAAAATCCCATAATGGTTACTTTCCGTGCACCACAAATACACAGAAAGTTAACGTAATGTAACGATGCCGAGCAGTAGTGGGAATAACATGTTTTCTTAGCTCATTTTACGTTTAGAAAAGTTCTCGTTCTCGTGTGTACTGTGACACTGTGTGTAGAGTAATGAAATTATTAATAACCGTCCTGGAGTTTTTCACCCAGTATTTAATATCCTTTCAAGCAAGATCCAATTTGGCCCCCCTGATAAGAGGAAGCCTAGACAAATTCTACGCCACATGATACATCATGGTGACGGAGGAACACATTAAGAGATGACCACATGTATTATCATCATAACAATAATAGAAATTCCGCTAGTGGTCAAATTAGATATCAAAAGATTTAGCGAGACGCTCTTCTTATAGCCGTAAAAAGAAACACGCCTATAGTATTAAATTACTCAATGTCTTCATTATTTATTTATAAGCTGTTCAATAAACAAAGTGGTTCACAACATTTAAAGTATTAAGAAATTGTGTACCACAAATAAATATAACGTTAACATTTTCCACTAAAGGGCAAATGTATGTCTGTCGCATCTCCCGACACCTATCGGAATTCAGTAGAACTGTGACGTTTTAGTTGCAAAACGCACCACCAAGCGCGCCTATTTTAGAAAGGTTTTAGGTTAGTAAGTTTATGTATGTTTAAAGTGTCAAGTGTCGTGTCAGTGTCACTCACTCACTCACTGTCAAGTCAACTCCGTAAACTCATACCCAAGAAGTGTCAAAATTTTAAAGTTGAAATGTTCTTCTGAATCATTCTTTCCACGTCTGGACACGCCCGGAGTATAATTTATGCTGTGGGACACTCTCATTACCGGTTTTGTTGTTCTATTAGATTATCCTTATGAATGCAGTTTTGATTATTTGTTAGGGTTTTTTTAAGGTTAGGTCCAGTATTTGGTTTCAGCTAAGTTAAATAACATTTAAGACTAATGTCCTGAGCCATATTTCTGCTGTTCAAAACGTAATTTCTTTACTAGTGAAAACAATGAGTAACCACCTTACAGGAGGGAAAGCTAATGTAGCTCTTCTGCAAGAGTCAATCCGAAATGAACTTCTTACCTTGGTGGATAAGTGTGATGGAAGTAAGGTAATAATTTCCTCTTTTTGTTTCAAAATTTAGCTTAAACTATGCCTACTGTAGGTACGTAGAAACACTTAAGAAAATGTCTGGAGCAAAAACTATTCTGTAGCCTAATTAAGCTTAAGCTAGCCTAATCGGAATAGGAACCATTTTTGTAAATTAACCCACGAGAGGTCGCATGCTGTCTAAGTGACCTGGGGCCCATTTCATAATAAACTACAAGTTACGTGATTTCCATTAGATTTGCATTGGGCGATCAGCTGATTTCTTATTATAGTTCGGCCGCTTAGAAAACGACCTCCTCCAGCATTGGTTTACCATTAGCGCGCAGGTCGTTTTCTAAGCGGCCGAGCTATAGTTTGTACTTTATTATGAAATGGGCCCCTGGTTTGTTATTTTTTGGGTGAAATTTATATTTAGGCTAATTGGTTTTTGGTTTTGTCAGCATGTTTGCATGGTTTACTGTGCATAATTAACACATTCCACGAATTAATAGGTGCCTACTGTGGAACCATTTTTTGCCATCATTCACCTCGTTTTAGCGAATTTCCCTATAGGGAAGTAGCTATTACCGTAGGTGGCACGGTAAGACCTAGACCCGGGACCGATTTACTTTTTCATTTTGATGTCCCCAAAGGCCAAAAACACTATTCGTTCAAATTTTTATATGTATATATCTATAAGTATAAAAGAGGATGTTTGTATATATATTTGTTTGTTTGTTTGTTTGGGGGTGATAAACTCGGACACCGCTGAACCGATTGCCACGAAACTTGGTACATACGTGTAGAATGTCATGGAATAGGTTTATACACCATCAATTTCGTGATCCGTCCAATAGGCTCCGCCCCAGTGGCTCTGGAGTTTCCCATGTTAACCTTATGAGAAATGGAATTAATGAATCTTAACAGCTGTTTCAATTAAACAAGTTGGTTCTGTTCTATGATGTTCAATAGCATTAAAGTTACAAGGATTACCAACAGGGTGCAGCACTATTATTTCTTTTACATATTTATGACAACAGCTAATTTGCAACCAAAAAGGTGAGTGAGCGTAGCGAACGAGCTAACCTGAAGGCAAGTGAGCGCAGCGAACGAGCTCCAACCTAAAGGTGAGTGAGCGTAGCGAACGAACTTCAACCAGGACGTGATTGAGCCATGCGAACGAGATCATCTTGAAAATTAAGAAGTTAAACGGGGCAAAGCCCGCGGGTTACAGCTAGTATATATATATAGACTTATATATATATATATACGTCCGTGAACACGATAACTTGAGTAATTTTTGTCCGATTTTGATGAAATTTGGTTTAAAGGTGTAAAGCGTGATAAACTTGAATGAGTTCGCGAACCAGCACGATCGGACCATGGGAACGGGGCTTTACGGGGGGTTTTATGGGGTAAAAATTGGTTTTTCTCACTTTTGACCCTCAAAACACAAAATTTCCCAATTTTTCTTTAGACCTTTTTAAAGAGCTTAAAAAAACAAATAATTTAGTATATAAAAGTATTTTTGTTCAATTATTAGTTACGGAGAAAATTAAAAAAAATTTAAATTTAAAATTCCCATGTTATTCTTATGGAGAATATTGTAAAATGTTGTAGTTTGCTTGTTTATGAATATATTTTGATCAAACTTGGCAAATTTATTTATTTTGTACTAAGCTATCAATATTTTACTAAAAAATACACTTTATTAGTTTCCTTGTAGCAGCAAACCTAGGTACTCGTTAAACCTAATGTTATTAAAGTATATTAAACTAAAAATTAATTCAGACAAATGGAAATTCGCTTAGTCGGCAGGTTTGCTGCGGCGGGGGTATTTGTTTATAGCCTAGGCCTAGGTATATAAGTTAGCGACAGCTTTTTGTCATGTAGGCCTACTGGTCGATTCCACTGTTTGCGTCTCCTCATGTTTTACATGAGTTACTAGTAAGTTATTACCGTACCATTTAAATTATGGGTAAGTTACTTTGGCATTATCCGGAATCCACCGTTATAAGTTACAGGGCGCTGCTTTGGTTATGTTAGGTTGGGATCATAAATATGTTTGTAGGACTTTCCTCGTTCCGTTATGAATTGAACAATAGCAGATGAGTCATACTTTCGCCCGCTAAATCCCCCCCCCCCCCCCTAGTAGGCCAAGGTCTGGTTAGCGCATCACCTGTCACCGCCTGTATCTGGGTCTGTGTCCTGAGTGATTTATTGCCGTGCACTAGGTTAGTTTTGTCTCCACAATGAGTGACAAACGAAGAAAACAACGAACGTATGAGGAAAGTCCTACAAACATATTTTTGATCACCCAACCTAACATAACCGCCACAGCGCGCTCATATAGGGGTGGCCTCCGTTTCAACTCAATCCTCACTTCAACTCGCTGCCTTCTGGGAGGCAGAACTCAAAGGCCGCCAATCGTGATCATGTCAAATGTGGACAGAAAGTCAATTAAAGTATGTTCTTTCCAATTATGTAGTTTTTTGGTCTCCGGTCAAAAAAATCGCTCTAAAATAAGTGGCCTCCGGATAATACCAAAGTAACAAATTATGTGCTGGGCCACAGAGAAGTATTTATCTACCTTTTAGTGGAATCTAACAAGTAAGTATAGGATTGATAGTCTATCGTCGTGTTTATTTATTGAACAATATAATGATTACTTATTATCTATACTATTATAAAATTAAAGTGGTGTCTGTCTGTCTGTCTGGGCTGCTGTTACAACTAAAATACTAAATCAATGAAGTCAAAATAAAGCACAAAGATGGTCCACATATCTAGGAATGTCACATGGGAAATTCGCCAAAACACCTCAAATTCTAACTTAGGTTGTGAAATAAAACTACTCTCCATAAAAAAAAATGAAATCCAGCATAGGCCTATCTCAAATATACTGACCTCGATTTCTCAAAACTGCAAGAGGAAGGGTAGTAAAAATTTGAGATACTGAGCCTCTGAAGGTGTTATTGATTAGAGACTTGAAAATTTTTATGACTATATTACATGTAAAAAATTAAACCTCCAAACTAATAGTTCAGTACATATTCGACACTATAAATTAAGGCATACTAGGCAGGTTGAACAACATAAATTAAAGTTTTTTGAGAAGAAATGTAGTTTCATTGGCATAAAATCCTTCCTAAAATTATAAAATAGAGGAAAACATTTTTGATTCATTTCAGCTTTTATTACCTTTGTATTCTTTGGACAAATTTTGGAATTCATGAGAAATCGTAATTTATAGTTTAAAAAGATGATTTAATTTAATTTTGTTTAATCTTCTTAAGCTTAGGCCTAACATTTGTTTTGTAAAGATAATAATTGTTTTAGTGAGGCATAATTCATATTTGTATTTATTTGACGCTATTCATTGTATAAAAAATTGTACTGTGAATGAATAACAAAAATTTGAATTTGAATAAAGACGAATCTTAAGACTTCAATTATAAATCAATCAAATTTATCAATTATTTAAGATGGTGACGCCACTATGAGTGAAGGATGAGTGTAGGATGAGTGGCACGATCTTGTAAGGCTGACATATTCCTTAGACACAGCTGTTAATTAATAGCCCATACAGCTAATGGCAACTTAGGGACCTACAGTTTAAAGTGGAATTCGAACCACATTTTTTCCTTGTAATTAACGAATTGGTCTAATTATCAGGATAGTACTGCGGATAGTCGTATTACTCTCTAGTGCGGACGTTAATCCACACCAGGGAGCATCGCATCCACAGTGCATGCCTATAAATATCCACAATTTGTGACCTCATTGTAGCTGGATTACAGGACGACGCTACCCGTCCCAGTCTGTCAATAATTTTAAAGGAATTCTATATTTGCAATACAATGATGACTTATTATCAAGCAATTATTATAGAAAAAAAATTATTATTTATAAATAAACTTTTTTGTGAACTATCTTTTTTACGGTATACAATACAGTTTTTTTTCATATGTATTTGTCATTTATAGATGCATAATAAAAATAATGAGGCATTATTGAGTTAAATATGAAACGGTTTACACAAAACAAACAATGCAAGGTATAGGCTACAATTTTATTAAAACTGTCCATTTGATATTTTATCATCTTAAACATATTCAGAAGGTTGTAAATTAAATGTTTACACTATTTTTATGATTTGAGCAATTAAAATTTAATGCTTACTGAAATATGGCTTTTTAATTGTACACAGTCAAAAAAAACCGTGTGCGTCTCCTCACGTTTCTAATTCAGTGCGACCTCTGCCGGGTCAATAGGGCATTGGTTTTCAGTCTCATCATTTAACTTACACTTAGCTTCCATCATTGATGAATCGATGAATAAATGTTAAATGATCCTGATTAAGTGAGGATCATCGTGTTACATACATCATGTTAATATTTTTTTTTAAGCTAAAAGGCTACTTTATACTTTTAAAACTGAAATGGTGACCGTACAAAGTAAGGTTATTTTAAGCCAAGTATGAATGGAGTTGAGTGTAGGATTAGGGGCGCGATCTTATATAGGCTTAAGTTAGTCTTGTTGTTCCTTAGACAGGACTGTTTATTAATAGTCAATTCAGCCAATGGGCAATCAAGGGACCTACAGTTTATAGGGGAATCCGAACCACATTTTTGCAATTTACAAATTGGTGTAATTATCAGGATAATAGCCCACTGCGGATAGTTGTAGTACCCACTTGTTCAGACATTAATCCACACCAGGGAGTATCCACAGATCATGCCTAAATATACACACTTTGTTTACCTGTTGATATGCGTCTCAGGCTCATATTTAAGATGAGATGGTTTTGTTTGGTTAAGTAATCTACAGTAAGTTATGACAAATTAAAAGAGATTAGGTAGCATAATTCCACCTTTAATTTATTGAACTGATGTTGAGCAACTCAAAACTTAGCGGCCAGAATTTTACCCCCTGGTTTGTGACGTCAGTTTTGCTCAGGGGGTAAAATTCCGCTACCCCTCTAGTCTATGTGCTATATGCCTAGGTGTGTTTGAACTAATTACACTTATAGTATTGGTTTTTAAAATATAGATTTTGAACTGTGTAATATTTTTTGTTAGGTTATCGTTTTGGATGAAGATTTAAACGGACCAATTGGATTGGTCGCCAAATCATCAGATCTTCAAGCTCATGGAATATCAAAAGCATTTATTTTACGTGGAGGTCGATTGCCTTTGTGTGATGCAAGAAACGTCATTTTCATCACAAGACCACTACTGAAGTTAATGGACTTGATATCTGAAAATATTCATGGGTACGTAGGGTTTACAAGTTACAAAAAGTACCATATTTAATGCTTTATTTGCTATGGTAACTCCTGCTTTATTACTATTCAACGAGCATATAAAAAACAATATTTGATACGTTCAACTTAATTAAAATGCAACTCCATAAACTTTGAATACAGGTACCGTGTACGGATTGTCATCATTACTCTATTATATTTTGTAATTAAAACAGACAAAAAAATCAAACTTAAATTGGAAAAAATAACATGTTAGGCAATCAATATTTAGCTTTTACCAAATACATTTTTAAAAAGCTGACATAACAATGACCTTCATACAATTTACAGTTCGTAGGGAAATACCATTACAACTAAACTATTTCAGATTTGTTGTTCCTATTGTTGTAGGGGTACCTACCTATTTATAAAATAAACTAGCAGACTTGTAAATTGCTGCATTAATGAGCAAGATTACTCCAACAGCCAACAGTGATTACTTTTACCAAGAATTACTGTTAATTAATGTGTATATATGATTACAGGGAAGAAAAAAGTAAAGTTAGAAAAGAATTTCACATCATATTTGTTCCAAGAAAAAGCTTACTTTGTGAAAAAAGATTGAAGGTGAGTATCTAAAATCTTATGGTTAAATATTTAAACCAGAGGTCAACTACTGTAGTAGCCTTTAGGCCCTATGCCTTATTCAGAATCTTTTTGTAATAATAGTAACTTAAAAAGTTTAAATAAAATTTAATAAAAAAAGTTTCTTGAGCCTAAACTAAAAATGTTACTTAGACACAGAGACGTAGGTTACAGAGGAAATAATCAGTGATGCACTTAGGTGGTGTCTAGGATTAAGTCCAACACCGTCTCCCTCACTCTAAAGTACTACAACTGGGGAAGACGCTGTATCCCGTGTAATAGGGATCTCTTTACTCGTCACAAGTATATTTCCTGCACACCATACTAGAGCTGAAAGCGCACGCTCGTCCCATAAACAAGTTTCCTCTGTTCCTTACTTCTTTCTGACTTGAATGAGACAAATTTTGAGGTTTTGCCCAGCCCATGGTAACACATGTTGGACGTTCAAGCTCTACATATATTATTCAACTAGCAGAGTACCCGTCCTTCGTACGGGGTTAGCATATAAGTATAAAATACTTATTACAGTTATGGGAGAGGACACGGTTTATGAAAATTTGGTCTTAAAATTAATAAGGTATCCTATAGTGTAGCACACATCTATCATAGCCCCAATGTTCTACCACTGCCCCTAAACCATAGAAAAAAGTAAAGTTCTCATTGTGTACCTCGACTTTTTGGCCCGACAGACGTCGTCCTGCCCTAGTGTGGTTTTATGTCAAATGCTTGTTTATTTTCAAAATGAGCTCGTTCGCATTGCTCAATCACGTCCTGGTTAAAGTTCGTTGCTACGCTTACTCACCTTTAGGTTGGAGCTCGTTCGCGGCGCTCACTTACCTTTAGGTTTAGCACGTTCGATACGCTAACTCGCCTCCAAGTTGAAGTTCGTTCGCTACGCTCACTCACCTTTTGGTTGCAAATTAGCTGTTGTCATAAATGTAAAAGAAATAATAGTGCTGCACCCTGTTGGTAATCCTTGTAACTTTAATGCTATTGAACATCATAGAACAGAACCAACTTGTTTAATTGAAACAGCTGTTAAGATTCATTAATTCCATTTCTCATAAGGTTAACATGGGAAACTCCAGAGCCACTGGGGCGGAGCCCTTTTAAGAATTTTGAAACGGGAAATAGTTTACGTCCGATTCGCATACCTACAGAATTTACACACCAAATTTCATAACGATCGGTGAAGTCGTTCCGGAGGAGTTTGCAGACAAACACTGTGACACGAGAATTTTATATATTAGATATATAGATATATAAATAAATATATATATATATGAATTTGAACGGATGGTGTTTTTGGCCCCTATTGACCTCAAAACGAAAAAAAAAATCGGTCCCGCGTCCAGATCTTACCATGAGTACTACGGTAATAGCTTATTCCCTATATGGGAAATTCGCTAACAAAGGTCTACTATGTAATGAAGTTTTACACTTTATTCAGAATTTTGTGTAAACAATTAGTACCTTAAAAAGTTGAAGTTTCTCAGGCCTAAACTAAAAATTTTACTTAGACACAGAGACGTAGGTACAGAGGAAACATTCGGTGGTGCACTTAGGTGGTGTCTAGGATTAAGTCTAACACCGTCTCCCTCGCCCTAAAGTAATGCAACTGTGGAAGACGCTGTACCCTGTGCAATAGGGATCTCTGCACAGTGCTCGCCGCTCTCTCTTCTTTACTCGTCACAAGTATATTTCCTGCACACCATACTAGAGCTGAAAGCGCACGCTCGTCCCATAAACAAGTGTACTCTGTTCCTTACTTCTTTCTGACTTGAATGAGACACATTTTGAGTTTTTGCCCAGCCCTTGGTCACACATGTTGGACGTTCAAGCATATTTTGGATGTACAAATTCTTTATTTTTTCACAGAACAAAGGAGTGTTTGGGAATCTGAACTTCATTGATGAACTACCCTGTGACATTTTCCCCTTTGACAGTGACCTGATGTCCATGGAGCTACCACATGCCTTTAAGGTAATGCTTTGTAATAATCGACTGATCAAGTTTTACATCCACAACAAAATTGTCAACATGTCGTTTTTAATATTGAAAATATTTATTTAAAGTACCTACTCATATTACTGGCCGTTCCTTGCACATGCAGAATATATCTCATTAGTTTTAGGATCAAATCAGTTAGGGCTTTCAGAATGTGACTCTTTGTACCTGAAGACAATGTTTTTGTTCTTTTGTTAGAATAAAATTTACGCCATCATACTAGGGTGTGTGAATAAGGCAAGTATGAATGAATGAGGTTATAGCCTTGATGCTAAGATCAGCTAGTTCTATAGGTTACCTACTTTTAAAAGCTGCATGATCAAATAGGCTACATTTGAACTATCAAATGTTGACTTTTCTCAGGATCGAACTGGAAGCCCTTTTAACTAGGTGAGCTCTATATTCCTTTGCTACCCAGCTACATAAAGATTATTGTTCCTATCTTTATCTTCATCAAAAGCTGTTTAAAATAGCAAGTAATCATCAAAGATTGAAAATGCCAGTCATAGTGTTATATTCCAGGAGTTTCATCTGGAGAATGACCCCAGCACGCTGTACCAGGCTGCCCAAGCTATCATGACCCTCCAGGACATGTACGGCGTCATACCTCGGGTCTGCGGAAAGGTAAACCCCTATTGTGTGTTTTTTTTAGCTATGTAAATCTCTATCGGCCTATGAACTTGTTATGATTAGGCTAGTTTAATTACCTGTTTTGAAACAGCAGCAACTAGTTTAATTTCAAATTCTAAGTAGTGAAAGATAGAAATTCAGAAGAAAAGCATCGTCTTACTTACCTTTATTCCCAAGCTATTTATACCCATGAAGGTATCTTTTTTTACGAACTATCTCCATTTCCTCTGATCCTGAGTGTCTTCTTCGGCTTCTTTTTACAGTACAGTTCTTTAACACCTCTGCTGGTTCTTTAAGAGCATCTAAAAATACAAAAATAAAATGTATTGTTTGCATAACGCTTTTATATCCCACCGAGGATTTTTATGAGCGATAGTTATCACAATGTTAAGAGATAAACGGTTTTTATAGGGTGTGGCAGCGCAGCATGTGTGGGACCTGATCTGTCGTCTGTCACTGGAGCCGCGGCCAGGCCGGCAGACGACGGCTGCTCCACATATTGATCAGTTGTTGTTGTTGGATCGAGCAGTCGACACAATTTCCCCACTCGCCACACAGCTGACTTATGAGGGGTTGATTGATGAGTTTTTTGGCATTTGCAATAGTGAGTGTTATTTCATTTGATAAGTACTGTAGGAGTTTACAAAATAGACAAGTGAAGGTACACCAAAACGCATTTACTCATATTGGCATTATAGTCCAGGCGCTAAACGGGTTGAGTATGCACTTAAAGTCTGACAAAATTTGACTTTTGATTATTGTTGGGGATATCTAGTAGATGAAAAAAATCGATGATGTCGCATTTCTAGGGTGGTCACAACTCGGGGGGGAGGGGGGGAAGTTGCGCGGGTCATCGGTTTACGTTTCCGCGTTTAACTCACAAACGGTTAATGATAGAAAGGTGAATTAAGCGTCTATCTACGCCTAAATATATTGTCCTTCAAAAAGGTTATTACAACCTTTCTTCTATCTCTTATACTTTAGGCGCTAATCAACATTTATTGCAAAAATTAAAATTTTAAACTACTTTAAAATCAAATATCGGAAATATTGCGCTTGTTTAGGGCATGTTACAAACTATTTATGGTTAGAAAAACTAACAAGTAGTACAACATCACCAATTTTAAAGAAATCTGTGCAAGAACAACAGAGCTACGTTGATTTCAGTAAGAGTAAACGGGGGAAATTTTTAGTAGTATCGAGGCGCACATGGATGGTACGTAGCCCACAGTCAATATAGGTTTGATGTTGTAAGTAACTATGGGAAAGCTGAATTTGTCTATGCTGTTAGACCATGTTGAGATGATCATTTTCCCGAAAGTCAACACTCCTGCCCACTTGTGCTTTCCTCTAACCCCCCTTTTTAGATAAATTTACAGCCTCTTAGCAATTAAGCTATAACTTTAAAACGGGTAAGGATAATAATGCAATCTTTTATTAATCATACGATAATCTACAAAAAGAATTATTAGATAAATAAATATTTAAAAATAATTATTATAGATTTCTGAAGAAGAAGAAGAAGAAGAAAATGTGTTCATTGTAATAAAATATCAATACAGTGTTTTTTATTTAAATGCAAAGAACAATGGTCAAAGACCGTCTGTTTTGTGTTAGACACACTGATTTTAAAATATTTTAAAACAGTTTAAAAATTCCATGAATCACATACAATTATTCATAAAATAAACTGATTTCAACTACAGAATATACAACAAATAGCACTACATACTAATAAAGATCAGATAACAATTGAATGAATAATAAAATTTAAATGAAGCCTACTGAGAATCTGAATTTTTCCTACAGTTAATAATTCATAAAACAAACCTGTTACTTTTATAATTTACTTTGATAGATACTTAACAAACAATATTTTTTTAATTACATAGATTTTTCCCATTTTTGTATTGATATCTCAATTCTTAAATTTAATAATTATGCTCCATTATCAATTCCCACCCTTTACTCCACGCCTCTTTAAGATAATTTCCAAGTGCCCGCCAATCTTTACCATTTAAAAATTCAAAAAAACTCACATTCATTTGAATATAACTTGTTGGACCAAAATTGACGTATCTTTTTTTAAATTGGACATTCTGCTATAAAAGGGTACACGTTTCATCCCGGTTGAGATTACATAGTGGACATACATAAATTTCATTTTCCATATAGAGTTAACTTTTTATTAGACGACCCCTTTTATTTGTAAAAAATGTTTTTAGGGATGGTTACGAATAAAAAAATATATCCACCATTTTCCAATATGGCCAACAACTTTGTTATTTCTTATAGAATACGCTGTATTTTAGTATTCTTTTAGAATTTAAAAGCTATTTTTTTATTCGTGACATTTTTTCTCTAAACCTACCCCATTTAGGAGTTACAGCGTGTTATATCTAAAAGAAAGGCTTGTGGTGTACATTCGGCATCCTGTAGCTTATAAACGTTCATAAAGTTGAGAGAGAAAGTGCAAAGAATAAATAAGTCATATATAAGTCCTCGTTAAATATATAAAATACGTAAAAAAATACTGATTTTGTAGTTTTAAAAATGGCCATCATTTTCAAAAATGGTAGCTTACTTTGATATTGGAACAATTTATTTTATGGTTTTTTTATGTAGATGTGATCTGAAAATTTGTTTATTCTTTGTATTTTCGCTCTTAAACTTACTCGTTTATGAGCTACAGGATGCAGATAAAATAAATTGTAAACTCAAACCATTTCTTCTTCGATGTAACTCCTAAACAAGTAGCTTTAGAGAAAAATGTCAAGAATAAAAAGGTTTAAAAATTGTGTGTTTACATTCTAAAACAATCATAAAATACAGGGTATTCCATCGGACTAACAAAGTTGTCAGCCATATTGGAAAATGGCGAACATATTTTTAAAATTCGAAACCACTAAAAAAACATCTTAAAATAAAGGGTAGTGTCCCATAAGAAGTTAACTCTATATCTCATAATAAAAAAGTTATCTATTGGTTCACTTTAGGTGAGACACCCTGTATAATAAAATGAGGCTCTGGCGTACAGCAGCAAATGCACGATATTCATTCATATGTATCCACTATAGTCTGTATATGTACTGAATGAGCTACATAACGTTAATATAATCTATATAAAGCGGCAAATTTAAATACAAAAACCATAATATACGTAATTTTTTTCATTGTTGCGGTGCACAAAAAAGCCAGAGTCCTGTAAAATCAATATACTGTACTATCTATAACCACTATATGCAAACAAACTGTTAATAACTATGTATCATTTTAAAATGTAAACTATGCACCCCAAATTTTGTATCAAACATTTTGTTGTGCGACCTCGTATGAAAAATCTACAAAGAAAAGTTTCATAAATTAATCCGTAAAAATTATTTTTTTATGTTTATGATATTTTTTAACTATGAATATTTAGGATACCATGGTAAATACACTTTTTGTAGAATATCGTAACGCAAAATGATTAATAAAAGATTGCGTTATTATCCTTACCCGTTTTAAAGTTATAGCTTAATTTCTAAGAGACTGTAAATTTATCTAAAAGGGGGGGGGGGGTAGGGGGGTAGAGGAAAGCACAAAGGGGTAGGAGTGGGGACTTTTGGGAAAATACTCAACTCAACATGGTCTAACAGCATAGAAAAATTCAGCTTTCCCATAGTTACTTACAACATCAAACCTATATTGACTGGGCTACGTACCGTCCATGAGCGCCTCGATACTACTACGAATTTTCCACGTTTACTCTTACTGAAATCAACGTAGCTCTGTTGTTTTTGCACATATTTCCTTAAACTTGGTGTTCTTGTACTATTTGTTAGTTTTTCTAACCATAAATCTTCTGTAACATGTCTTTAACGCATATAATATTTCCGATATTTGATTTTAAAGTAGTTTAAAATTTTAATTTTTGCAATAAATGTTGATTAGCGCCTAAAGTATAAGAGATAGAAGAAACGTTGTAATAACCTTTTTGAAGGACAATATATTTAGGCGTAGATAAACGCTTAAACCACCTTTCTATCATTAACCGTTTGTGAGTTAGACGCGGAAACGTAAACCGATGACCCGCGCAACTTCCCCCCCTCCCCCCCGAGTTGTGACCACCCTAGAAATGCGACATCATCGATTTTTTTCATCTACTAGATGTCCCCATTCCCCAACAATAATCAAAAGTCAAATTTTGTCAGACTTAAAGTGCATACTCAACCCGTTTAGCGCCTGGACTATTAATTTAGACTGTCTACAATGGATTGGTTCTGTCGTTTCTTTCGTGTTCGCTGGGGACCTCATATCTTAGTTACTACTATTATCTCTGGATAAATCTACCCATTCATCTATTTTGGTTGAATAGTCTTTCATTTAAGACAGACTAATTCTTTAAAAAATTTTACTCAAATGATCTGTTGTTAGCCATAGACTTTTCAGTAGCCTTTGAAAAATTCATTTAGATAAATTCTTGCAATATCAGATCATGAAGCAGTACAAACTTGTATGTTAGGAAGGATAGTATTTAGATTACTAGTTTATATTGTTGTACTTAATTATAAGTTCTAAGAGTTATCCAATTTAATCTAAATCAATATTTGAATATTTGAAAAAAATAGTGGATATTGGTATGTCTAAAGATTCAGCTTCATCACCTTTTAACTGCAAGATCTTATGAGTTTGTCATTTTCGTAATTTTGTTCCAGCGACTGTTCATCTTCCCGCTCACAAGTTTGCTCAGTCAGACGATGAGCCTCAGAGTGATATGATACAGAATAAGAAGAAGGTGGTTTTAAACTCAGGAGATCAGATGTTTGCAGAGATCAGGTAAAGTTGTTTAGCTTTGTTTATTCTTTTTTCAACAGAGCAAAACTACTTACATACTACGTAATCTTAGGGTGACCAAGTAAGTCTTAGGAGTACCGGGAAACTGGGATTGTTGGGTAATTTGACAAAATTGTTATTGTTAATTGCCAGAAGTTTAATTTACGTAAATGGAACTATTTAAACAATCAATTTACTGCTCGCCACGTTTAAGGCGAGGGCAAGGAGACTTTTTTTAAGCTTAATTTCTGTTTTAGAGGTTACAGGATAGTTTTTCACTGACAATGGCAGTCTATATATAGCTGCTTTTCACGCAGCTTTGCTCAGTGAAACACGCAGCCGAAACGCACGCAAGAAACACCTGTAAAATGTCTATAATTGATTGCTGACCAGGTCTAATATCGTGTCCTACTAATTTACCTAATAGTTTATACTAAATTGCAAAGTTTTATTCCTAGGCATCTGAATTTTTAAAGAGTTCACTCCCTAAGACAACACAACTGTAGACTAAGTTACGTTGTGGGATCCATAAGATAATAAAGAATTACTTTTACAGAGACAAAAACTTCAATGCTGTCGGACCGGCTCTGAGCAAGAAAGCCAAGCTGATTTCATCACAGTTGGACGAACGTCACGGCGACAAGACCATTCAGGAAATGAAACAATTTGTCGCGAGACTTTCCCACTTAATGGCAACTAAAAAGTCGCTGGCCACCCGTAAGTTTCTTTTATTCACTTTTTTTCAGAAAACAGCAAACAGTATCATGTGGGTGTGAAGTTTTTGTGTCTGACTATTGACCTGTTTGGGTTGAGCTATAGTCTTTATGATGGAACCTGTCTCCTCACCCTCTGTTTACCTGAGTACTGGCCAGAGGTTTAACAAGGCCATTCCTAAGGTAAACGACGGGTTAAGAGACGGGAGAAAGGTTCCCTCTTAGAGACTATAAATGCTTCCCCTAAAGCGTTTGTGATTCTTGCTTACCAATAATCAACTAGCGTGGACATTTTAAAATCACATTATCATCAGTTACAATTGTGTGACAGACACGACAATAGCGGAGATGATCAAGGAGGTGACGGACTCGACGGAGTTTCTAGACACATTGCGAGCTCAGCAGGAGATGATGTTGTGTGTGGACACGGACAAGGTTCAGCCGTACATAGAGGACTGCATTGCTCACAAGGAATCTTTAGTCAAGGTAAACAACCTAACAAGTGCTCTCAAGGATGTAAGATAGATCACAAGTGCCTAGGATATTAGGATGTTAGTGAGGATAGCAGGCTCACCTAAATGGGGAAGGGTCAAAACTGGCACAAGAAACACAAAATGTTACACAATATACACAAAACATTAGGATATTTCACTGTCAGCATTTTTAACTTAGGAAGAGATATTTTTTTTAGGCATAAATTTCTTAAGAGAGTTTTTTCAACTAATCAACCAATCAACTAATGATCTTGATTGGTATTGTTGATTGGAAAAAATATATCTTTGTACAGTATAGTCCTGTAGTCCGAACTCCGCTATTTTGAAAATCTGTTTCATTTTGTTAGACTTTACTGATGGTAGTTGATAATGATTAATTCTGTACAAATATACACTTTCATTTCACTCATATAAAAATATAAAATACGCCGAATATATACACACCAGATGACTTAAAAGTGTACGTTGTTGTTTTTTGTTTTTGTTTATATTTGTGACAATCCACGTCATGGAGTTTTTAAAGGTTTTTACTTTCTCTCCTAATACATAGTATATGGAAAAAATACTATATTCGTCAACATTTTGATTTTGAGTTATGGGTAGAAATATCCGTTTTGGGTCCCTCTAAACCCAACAGAGTAGTTTGCAAAGTGATGTGTGTGGATGTGTACAGAGAGAGTTACAGACCACACTTTTAGTCTGATTAATCTTTAAGATTTGAAATTAATTTGGTATGTACTGGTGTATGGTATCTCCAGATGTTTTTCCTCTTTAGATTTTGTATGGGGAATTTCCCATAAATTCCCAAGATAAAAACAGAAAAGTTGTATTTTCACAAAAATCAGGTCTATTGACACGTCTGTTCCTAGGTGCTGAGACTGATCTGTCTGCAGTCGGCGACCAACAGCGGCCTCAAACAGAAGGTGTTGGACTACTACAAGCGGGAGATCGTCCAGGCGTACGGCTTCCATCACATCTTGACCTTGACTAACCTTGAGAAGGCCGGACTACTTAAACTTCAGGTGACTAGATAAACCGTTTGGTAATTTGGATCGGTTTGTTTTGAGATTGGTGATAAGTGTAGGCCTATAAATTAAAATTTCTATGCTAATAATCAATTTTGGATAACAAGGTAGACATTAGTGATGTATCAAAAGCAAATCTTGAAACCATCAAGAGATTCAATTGGCTAGTTTCAAGATTCAAGAGTTTTGAAGTAGAAGATTTTGTTTTAGAAACTGCTGACAGTTTTTGGCGTCATTGTTATTGTTTGTAATACTGTTTACACACCAGATGGAAGCAATGGAGTAAACAGATCGCCATTAACACTAATGGAACAACTACCTAAACCTACTACTGTAAGGTGATGAATTTCACTTGACACTGGACACCAACCAATTAAAATTATTTTTTGGCTATTGAAAACGTCATACATTTCGGCCTTTAACATAACCTCTCAGAGAAGTTGAAGTTGTGAGTTGAGTAAGGATTATTAAGTTCTCAAGTCGGTGTGTGATTGTGATAGTTTTTTTATTAGTTTATTTTAGAATACTATGGGAAAAATATGGTACATCACTGATACTCGTTTGGTAAACAATTATTTTCCTGACTTAACGTTGTATATAAGCCTACTTGTTTGTTTCTTTACAAAATCAAATGGAAAACATCACGTTGTAAATGTGCGTTTGAAAATGTGACTTTGACTAATTAAAACTTAAAGTACAAATTTTTTACGTATTTTCAGCATAATTTACTTGGTACGACAAATCAAACAAAACCTTTTTTGTACTCTTCCCCAGAATAATGTGTACCGGAAAAAAAATGTCCAAAAACAAAATAACAAATTGTTTCTAGGCCAAAAACGTTTAACCCCTTTACTTTGCAGGATAGACATCGAGTGTACCCAGTAGTTCGTAAACTGCTTCGCCTCACAGTGGAGGACGGTAACGAGGTTGCTCCGACAGACATGAGCTACGTACACAGTGTTTACGCACCGTTGTCAGCTCGTCTGGCGCAACACATGGCTCGAAATAGTGGCTGGCGCAACCTGGCTGATGTGTTACCTCTGCTGCCCGGACCTACGCTGGACGAGACACAGGCTACCGGTGCTCAGCCACACAGGCGTAAGTGTTAACGATTTGTACTCGTTTGTGGTAAATTCTGTTGGTAAACCAAAAATGATTCCAATGCTATGAGTGAATTTTCAATCGAGAAAATGGTGAGAGTAACACTGTCCACATGTAATATGCTATTTCAAATGTACTACAACTACTTTTATTGGTCTTATTTCCAAATAAACAATATTTAGCTTTCTGGTTAAGGATGTAACATTGGGCAAGGGATTAAGGGATTAGGTTTTAAAAATTTACCCCATGATATCACTACTGTTTCTTTCAAGTTTGTTTACTTTAGTTACTAAAACTCATTGTTTTACAAGGAATCTCATTGTGTGCAGGTGGATCCATTGACAGCAAACAGTCTACTGGAAGTGACGTAGCAACGAAGGTCATTCTCGTGTTTTTCCTCGGTGGTTGTACGTTTGCAGAGATTTCCGCCCTACGTTTCCTATCCCACCAACCTGATTGTAAGTTTTTTTAAGCCATTTCACTTGTAGGTTAAATTTTTAAAGTTTGTAGTTGTTAAAAACGGCATTTAACACTTTTATTCAAAACCTTTCAACAATTTACCCTTAGAAAAAAAATCAATCTTTATGAGCAGTGATTGTTGTTGTTCAAAGTCTGGCTCTGTCATCTGAATCTTTAGTCCAGACAAACTGGAATGCGCTAATTACTTGTTACTTATTGTGTACTGTTATTTTTTAACTTAGTCATTTATTGGGGGTCATATGAGACTTGTTACAAAGAGAAGAAAACTGTTTCTTCTGTAATATCTTTCACTACAACTGTTTGCAGCACTGTGACAAATTAGAAACACAAAGACAAGTATATGATTGTAACCTAAATAGTGTAATACAGTAAGAACCAGTAATATTCTCATTCTCATAGTACATTTCAAACATTCTTGTATATATTGAGTTGACTAACACTATTCATGTGAATATATGTAAACAATATAGAGCTTTTAAATTTAAGCTGTCCATACACAGTAATTATATTAAGTGAAATGTGTTTTTCAGCCAACGTGGAGTTTCTGATAGCCACTACCAAGCTAATAAACGGCAACACCTTCATAGAGTCATTGATGGAACCGTTGCCAGTTCCCAGCTGATCCGGTGTGTAGATCAAAGGTTTGTTTAGTTTTTCCGTAGTCTGTAATCTATAATATACGAGGGCTATTCCGAAAGTAAGGAATGTTTCTTTTTGACCCCGCTAGGCACACGTTGATCTCGTACATTTTTGTGTGTGCGCTCGGCAACTCAGTCGGCGTCCAGCTGTGACATCAGGAACATCTCCTTGCTGCCTGTTTTATGCAATTTCAACTTTCAAGGGCGCTGCAATCGAAAATCCCACCAGTTCTGAGGTTTGGTCAGTGATACGGTTTTTGTTAGTACAAAATTTAAAACCGATAAACATTTGGCAAGTGTGTGAAGTTTATGGAAACAACGTAATGAATGAAAGTTCTTTGCAAGAATGGTGCCTTCAGTTAAAAATGGCTGAACTGACGTTCATGACGAAGCGAAGAGCGGACGCTCGAGTATTGTGACTGAAGGACTGGTTGCAAAAGTTGATGAAAAGGTTCGCAAAAACCGTTAATTCACGATAACAGAGTTTTCGCTTTGTTGTGTGACAATTTAAACAAGAAAGTCTGTGAAACTTTTGGGAAAAACGTGATATTTGTGTTTCTGGAATAAATAGATTGAACATACTCCTTGTGTGTTGATATTCACTATCAGTTGTTATTTTATCTGCTTTAAAACTATTTGGACTATTATTGCTTACTGCAATTATAGCTAAATGTTATAGCACAAGTACACAAATTATCTTGAAGAATAAGAGATTAATTTATTTAGTGCTCTCTACACACTTCAGATTTTAAAGACACACATTTCATATTTTACAATTGGATGAGAAGTTTACTTGCAATATCTAAAGGCAACGCTGCATTTAAAATTTTGATTTTTCAGTAGAATATCGTTCATTTACATCACACATAATATCTGTATTACTTCTGTAATGTTTTATTACGATTACTAAACTTCTAATGGCATTTTATTTTACAGGACAGTGATTCCAAGTTTAAAATGAAGACTACAATTATGTATTTCTTACAAAGCTTATGCTTTTTATAATCTAGTCTATTGTTATGTATTACAGTTTGTTATTTTAATTTACACATTTTAAAAGCAAAGTATTGATATGTTAAACATAAATTTGTTCTATTATTTATGTACAGCTTTACAATATATAGAAATAAACTGTTTGTATCTATGTATCATATTTCGTATTTTCTAAACCCCTGGTGTCAAAGAAATAAAACTGTAAAATTGAATTATTAATTCAAGGTGTCAGTTTCATCACATCCCAAATAGGCCCTAATCAACAAGAAACATCAAAAGTTTTAGTAAAGTTGGATTTTTTTTATGTATATTAGAATAGAAAGTGGCTATCTTGAGGTGAATTACAGGGGAGTTGGTAACTTCCTGAGAGACGTTGATCAGAAAATCAAAAGTGTAAGATAATTTAGAGTTGGTTTCAACAGTTGAGGGTAAGGAAGCTAGGACTATCCCAAGAATTGGATATCGTAGCTTCTTGACGTTGGTCAAAAAATTGGAGGGGTCAAATAATTGAAAGTCAGTCCCAACAGTCATGGGATAGGAAGCTATGACTGGCAATTGGATAAGCTAACTCCTTGACAGACGTTGAATGGAAATCCAAATGGGTCGTATAATCGAAAGTCTTTAAACCTCACTTTTACTACTCAATCACAAATTTATTTACGCCACACTACACTATTTTGACGAACTTCCCACGCAAGGATTTAGTCCAGAAAACAGCTGTTTGCCGCCAGCTTATTCAAATGGGGTTTCATTGCGTACTACTGTACTGTAATGAGTTTTACCGGACACCAATCAGCTGATTATAATGTATTTAGGTGGCAATGAGTGGTTATAAACAAAAACATAACCTCTCATGACTAGTGATTTTTAGTCCTTTAGTTGGTGGAAATATATAAGGATTTGTACAGATTTAGTAGTATGGCGTAAACTATCGTACGTAACTCGTCCAAAATGTGCGTACCGGACTCGTATGGTAATCCCGTACTCGACTTCGTCTCGCACGGGAACGACCACACTCGTCCGGTAAACACTTATTTTCAGGACTAGTAACGTAATATACTATTCTTTACTTCACTAATTTCTACAAAAACCCACAAAACACAAGTTTCAACACTTTATTGATCAGCTGTGTTACACGACTCTTTTAACCTCAAAGAATCTGGTGATGTACCAAACCTCAAAACCTATAACGGTCACGATCAGCATCACTTCAAAGAGACACCACCTCATCACGACGGTGTTAGTGTGTTCGTTGATCAGATGGTGCATTTTCATACGAGTGATGATGTACTCCTGCTCTCTGTAGACGCCCCAGAGTCCCTTCGCTAGTTCAGCAGAGTGTAAGGCGATGCTAGTGTTGCTATTGTCCTCGGCTTGCCAGTCTACACTGTCCCCCAAGGAGACATCGAACTGTACACTCTTCGGCGTCAATGTAGACATCTGGTTACTAAAGCAGAACTGGTAATGCCCTGTCTGATAGGAATAGGTTTGGTTAATTTATTTAACTTGCATTACCGGTACATCTACATCCTGTGTAAATCCTATGCTTACTGTCGTGAAAAAATATGTAGGCCTACACATGAGTTTAAACTTTCTGAGATGGATCAAATAAGTTTTTCTGTTGACAGAAATTTGTTTAGGCTATTGTTACGACGTATTAAATTTCTTTTGTTATCCATAAAATTTATTTAAACTAGGCCAAGCGTCAATTTGGTATCCCTATCGACATAATCTATATATATAATACGCTAAGCCGATTTTTGTGAACAGAACTCCTCCCTAATTTTTAGACCGATTTTGATGACTAAAGTGTCAAAAAAATGGCCCTGATCTGTAGTTTTGCAAAGTGTTTTTAATTTTTTGAAATCTTTATTAGTTTGGGCAGGATATTCCATCAAAGTTGGGTTTTTTCCCATAAGATTAACATGGGGAATAAGTTGTTTTTAAATTGCATCTGTTTTGTTTTGATTTCATATTTAATTTTAAATTACAGCAGCTGATCAGGTGATTTGTTTACATTTCCACTAAATCAAACTGTAAACATTATGTGAGCGTTGCTAACGTAAACAATAGTGTTTTCTTTGTAGTGAATGAAGTAAAACTGTTTCATTTTTAATGTGTATTTAGTTAAATGATTTATGGTTTTGGATTTCTTTATTTTTCAGTGTTGTTTTCATAATGAATTGAATCTTTTTTCGTGACATATTTGAATGGATGAAGAGAAGGTTATCAAGTTAATTTAGCCTATTCCTGTTTGGAAAATGCCAAGGCGGGGAACTGTTAAAACTGTTTCGTTTTTATGTGTATTTAGTTGAATATTTTATTGTTTTGAGTTCCTTCCTTTTTCAGTACCGGTATCGTGTTTATCTTTATTTTAATCTTTTTTGATGACATTCAAAAATATGGAGAGAAAGTATAGTGTGTTGATTTAGCCTATTCCTGTTAAATTACTGTTTGGAAAATGCCAAGACATAGACTAACTTTTAATATTTAAAATAGAAGGAGAATGGGTTTAGTGAGGGATTTGATGAGATTAAGACGAACTAATAATAATAATTATAATTAGCCTATTCCTGTTTGGAAAATGCCAAGGCGTAGAACTGTTAAAACTGTTTCGTTTTTATGTGTATTTAGTTGAATATTTTATTGTTTTGAATTCCTTCATTTTTCAGTATTGTTTTTATCTCGATTTTAGTCTTTTTTATGACATTCAAAATTATGGAGAGAAAGTGTAGTTTGTTGATTTAGCCTATTCCTGTTACTGTTTGGAAAATGCCAAGACATAGAACTGTTAATATTGAAAATAGAAGGAGAAGGGGTTTAGTGAGGGATTTGATGAGATTAAGACGAACTAATAATAATAACTATAATAATCTAATAGGGCAAAGTAATAGAAATCCTGATAATTATAGCCTAGGCCAATTGAACAATGTGTGTCGTTTTTGTTACTCACTCTTCTTCAATTGTGAGAGAAAGTCAAATGGATTGTATACTTCTTGCTGTCATAACGGCAAGGTTACGTTGCCAGTTCCACAAACCAATGAGCTTATAAACAGTTTATTGACTGGAAGTCATGAAAAATCAAAACAATTCAAATCGAAAATAAGAAACTACAACAACGCATTAGCTATGGTAAGTTCCAGTGCAAATATTAGACCAAACACAAGAGGAGGACCTTATATGTATGTTGTCAATGGTCAAGTTCACCACAGAATTGGAATCACACCTGATGTTGAAGATCGAAACAATAGTCGCTACAGCCAAGTATATTTTTATGACTCAGAAGAGGCAAGTAATATACGTTGTTCGATCAGAGAAAATGAAGATTGTGATCCAATTCTTATGCAAGAGTTATCCAAAGTATTTGAAGAAATAAATCCATACTCCCAAGCATTCAAAACTTTGGGACAGGTGTTAAGAGAGACTCCACCTGAACAACGTGAAAATGTGCGGATGGTAATTTACTCTGATAGGAAACAAGATAATAGACGATACAACTTACCAACTTCGAATGATGTTGCTGCCATATTCAAAGCAGATGACGGTTGTCCAGTTGGAAACCCAGAGTTTGTGATATATCCCAAAATTGGAGCACCTGAAATAATAGCACCCCACTGTTCAGGATTGGATCCGATGGCCTATCCTTTACTTTTTCCCTACGGAGAACAGGGTTGGTTTAGAGGGATGCCTCAAGTCGAAGAAAGAGCTACTGCTCAAAGAAATAAGGTGACTCAACTTCAATTCGCTTCACACAGACTATCAGTGAGGCAACAATTTTCTCCAGTTCTCAATGCTGGAAAAATTTCGTTGCAATATATTGTAGACATGTTCACTAGAATTGAAGGAGAGCGATTGGCATTTATTAAAAGTAATCAGTCGAAACTGAGAGCAGAATTGTACGTGAACCTTCACGACGCAATTCAAGCTCGAGCAGACAATGAAGGTCTAAACATTGGTCGCCAAGTTATTTTGCCTCGAACATTTCAAGGAAGTTTTCGCAACATGCACAGCAATTACTTAGATGCTATGGCTATTGTTCGACAGCATGGTAAGCCAGACATGTTTATAACATTCACATGTAACCCCAATTGGGATGAAATAAAAGAAAATGTATTGAACAATGAAACAGCTAACATGCGTCCAGATCTAATAGTACGTGTATTTAATGGGAAACTTAAAGAACTATTAAAAGATTTACTAATCAATGAAGTTTTTGGAAAGGTGTCTTCACTAATCTACACAATTGAATTCCAGAAAAGAGGATTGCCCCACTGTCACATATTGCTTACGCTTGAAGCTGATTTTAAAATCAGGGAAATTGACCAGATTGATGCAACTGTTTGGGCAGAAATACCTGATTCATTAATTTATCCTGAACTTCACAATATAGTAATTCACCAAATGATTCATGGACCATGTGGACTTTTAAATTTAAATTCACCATGTATGCAAAATGGAAACTGTAGTAAGGGCTATCCGAAACCTTTTTACGAAGAAACACGGGAAAATGTTAATGGCTATCCTGTATATAGACGCCGTGATAATGGAGTAACTGCCACTGTCAGGGGTTCAACAGTTGACAACCGCAGTGTAGTACCATACAATCCTTACCTTACTAAAAAATACAATGCTCACATTAATGTAGAAATATGCAGTACTGTTAAGTCTATCAAGTATATCTATAAATACATATACAAGGGATTTGACGCGGCATCAATTGAATTTCGCAATGGCAATACTTTAGAGTATGATGAGGTAAAAGGTTATTTGATGGCAAGATGGGTTGGGTCATCTGAAGCTATGTGGCGAATCCTTGAATATCCAATGCACTATCAGTCTCACACTGTTGTTAATTTAGAATGTCATTTACCAAACCAACAACGTGTTACTTTCATTGAAGGAAACGAAGAGCGAGCTCTTGATCCTAAAGATACTAAACTTATGGCATGGTTTGTTTTAAACCAAAGAGATCCTGATGCAAGATTACTTACATATCCTGAAATACCTAAACACTACACATGGAAGGATGGTGAAAAGTGTTGGAAAAAACGCCAAAGGAACAGTCACAGAATTGTAACACGACTGAATGTTGTATCACCAAAAAACGTGGAACTTTTCCATTTGCGCCTACTACTCTTACATATAAAGGGTGCTCAAAATTTTATTGACCTCCGAACTATAAATGGTCAGATCTATGATACCTACCGAGAAGCCGCAATTGCTTATGGAATTGCTGAAAACTGTCAACTTAGCCGTGATACACTGCAAGAAGCTACTTTGCATGCCTCACCATATAACTTACGAACTCTATTTGCCTGGCTTCTGGGTCTCAATGTTCCAACTGATAGCCTTGACCTTTGGAATTCTTACAAATCCTATATGACCGAAGATTTCATTCATCAGGGGTTAACAGAGGAAAACGCTTTAAACAGTGCGCTTTTGGAAATTGAAGAAATATTAATAACACACAATACAAGCTGTAATGATTTAGGCCTGCCAGTTCCAAGAAGACAACATCAATTAATGAATCTCAACAATCAAGAAAGCGAAGCAATATTCAATGAACTTTACACAAAAGCTAATGATGAACAAAAACCAATTATTGATCTGATTATTCGAAAAGTACAAGAAGGGTATGGCAATGACAACCTATTTTATTTAGACGCTCCTGCTGGTTGTGGGAAGACTTTCATCCAGAGAACCCTATTAGCAAAGCTTGCCAGTGATAATTTGACTGCCCTCCCAGTAGCATTTACAGGTATTGCAGCGAGTTTAATTGAAAAAGGTCGCACGCTCCACAACCAATTTAAATTGCCAATTCCTGTTTTAGAAGATTCTGTTTCAGGAGTTACTCCAAACTCTAGCCATGGAAGATTTTTAGACTCAGTGAGACTAATAATAATTGATGAAGCAAGCATGGTGCCATCATTTATAATAACAGTGATAGATCGATTATTTAAAGATTTGACTAATGACCGTCATTTGAAGAAAATTCCATTTGCAGGTAAAGTTGTCCTATTCTCAGGCGATTTCCGCCAGACTCTCCCAGTTGTCCCCCATGCAGGACGCTCTGTTACAGTCCAACACTGTTTGAAAAATAACAAACTGTGGCCACTAATAACACAATTGAAATTAGAAAAAAACATGCGTGTAAATGATGGAGAAGATGAATTTGCAAACTACCTATTAAACGTAGGAAATGGATCACTGCCTACAGCACCAAATGGTTATTCACTAATGACAAAAAAACTATTGGGTGTAGGCTCACCTATAGATTGTATTTACTCTGATATTGAAGATAGTATTGTACAAGGGAGAATACAAAATGAGGCGGTTCTTGCACCAAAAAATGTAGACTGTGATGTAATTAATCAATCCGTTTTGTCTAGACTCCCAGGAGATGAAAGAGTATATGAAAGCATTGACACATTGATTACGGATGATATTGTTTCACATCTTGAACTTCCTGTAGAGTATTTAAACAGTATAGAAGTGAGTGGCTTACCAAAAAACAAACTCTCTTTAAAAGAAGGTGCAATAGTTCTTTTGATGAGAAATCTTAACACGGCAAAAGGTCTAATAAATGGTACACGGTTGCAAGTAACAAGATTGTTTAACAACACTATTGATTGCAAAGTCCTCACAGGAAGTAGCAAAGGAGATAGTGTTTTAATACCCCGTGTTAAACTAATACCCTCAGAAACTATACTTCCTTTCAAAATGCAAAGAATCCAATTTCCAATAACATTAGCCTTTGCGATGACAATTAATAAGGCCCAAGGACAGTCCCTATCAAAAGTTGCTATTTATCTCCCAAAACCGGTGTTCACACATGGTCAACTATATGTTGCTTTGAGCCGAGCCAAGTCATTCAACAGTATAAAAATTTTTATAAATGAAACAAAGGAGCAACAAATATTGCAAAATAGAGACTTTACCACCGTCAATGTTGTTTTCAATGAAGTTTTAATGTAACATTAGGATGATAGGAACGTATAGTATTTGCTTTCAAATTAGTTTTGGCACTGTGATAAGTATATATTGTTTCAATATAATGTTAATATTTTACTAATTTTAATAAAAACTATATTAAAATAATTGTATTTTTGTAATCTTTTATTTATTTATCTACATTAGTTGTAAAATGACTTGAAATAAATATAGCTTACATAATACAAATTAAAAATCACTTCTAGCAAGTTTTCAAAACTCTAATTGATCTACTACAATTGCTCGAATTCAAGCACCAGTTCCCATGTTTCTTGCGGCTAATTGAGCCGCGCGGGTTCCCTAGTTAGATTAATATAAGAGATATTTAACTTCAAACTCAAGTGCGTAGGCTATATTTTTCCCTTGACAGTAGTTATGAAATTAATTATCTACCATACTAAAAGAAGTAAAGTAAATTTTAGGCTACCTTCATTTTGTTAGGTTTTTATAAAAATATTCAAATAATTCGGTTAAATTATTTTCTTTTCAATATTTTTTTATTTGTAAATTCTTAGGTTTAAGCTTATTCACTTGGAGTCCATTAGCAATTCTGTTGCTTTAATAGAGTGCTCTCTGAATTCACTTTAAAAATTGATGGATAGCCTAATCTTGTTTAAAAAAATAACCATCTTAGGACAGTAACAGTCTGTTGACTTTTATTAAGTACATCATTATCCCCAACAATAGGCGCAGACGGAAATTACGACTAAACATACAGTAACTTCTTTGAAACTAGTTTCCCTACTTTCTAGAGATCACATGAATGCAGATTTTTACACCAATTTATAGAGTTAAATGCAATAAGTAGGCTGAAGTTCAATAAAATGTGTTGGTTAAGTTAAAAGATGAGGTTTTCAGTTCTAAAGAAGATTTGAATAATTTAGCGTATTTAAACCTTTCAGATTGATTAATAAGCCGAAATTCTCTGAACATGGAGCAGAAAAGCGATTAATGTTTCGTTCTGTTCCACTTTTAGGAAAACCCGGCTTTACCTAGATGCTTATCAGTTTACCAATAGTTGCTGGAATGAGTTCTCAAATTGTTACAATTCCGTCTTAAAATTACATTCAACAATCATTTGCTCAAAGCAAAAATAATTTTTTATCCAAAGAGAACAAGTTATAGTGGTAAATAAAAACTTGGTGACTAGTGAAAATCAAAATATTTACCCAAGTATGATGGTAAAAAGCCATAACATTTTCAGGTTAATTGGGTTACCTTATAAGCAGCAAATGTGAACTTTCCGTTGGTTTCCCTTGTACCCGAATAGATTAAACGTTTGTCAGGACCAAATATGGTGATGTCTACGTCCAAAAATCCACCTTCAGTAACTTGAAATACCAAATTGGCTTTCTTCCCAGCATCTATCTTTTCATAATAACACTCATCCGTGTGTGGATCAACATTTACTAACCATCCACTACAAATGTTTAATACTGCGAGGAAATTGACTAGAATCAACATTTGACAGTCTATTTAATACTTACACTTGTTTTGTTAAATATTATTTCATTGAGATGATTTTGTTTGTTATGAATAAAAACAACACTACTATTATGTTTTTAGTTTAGTCATAGGAAACACAACACACTAGCTTTCAGGTGGTTTTTGTTTTTACCAGCTGTTGTGGATGTTACACATAATACAGACACAAAGGAAAAAATAAATAGAAAAATATCAGCTGTATCATTAAAAAGCTACATCAGTTTCATTTGGAATTGACTGTTAAGAATTCTCATGTACGATACAAAATATAATAATAAAAAATATATAAATTACCTTAAATTTTAAGTAATTTATTTATTAATGTGCTTTTATTGATTGAATTGTGTTTCATCTCGTAAAAACTTCACAAAATTCTCGTATTTTGGCAATAACTTTTATATCAGTCCTCACGTCAATAATTCAAAAACCTAAAAAATGTGCAGAACTAAAATCAATCTACACTAAATGTAATTAATACAAATTATTATCCTAAAGATAATCAATCAGATTTAACTACAGCAAATTTTTAAATAAACACCTTTTAACTTAACAAAGAAATATTTTATTGATCAATAATAACACATTTTAAGGTCAGCGATTCTGAGCCTCTTCAAGGTGGATCTCTTGTAAGGCTTTGGATACAAGGTCTTGTAGATCTTGAGGTAGACTGTCTTCATTGCTATCTGGAAAACACAAAAGTTTACATTTTTTTAAGTTATTCACAAAACACAGTAAAAAAATCTCCCTCCTATGGACTTGACCAAGATTTGCCACTGTCTTGGGTTTTTTGGCCATGGCGTTTTGGGAGCAGGGGTCGAGCCAGGCCACGTTGGGTGTTTGTACGTTATTCACTGTTGTTTTCTTCTTGATTTTTTCTGCCCAACACAATAGTATCTACTCCTTTTGAGAAAAGTTTCCCACATCTCCGGATGGTGTCTCCATGACTGGCCCTTTTTGGGAACTGTCCTTAAAGGGGCTATCAAGGCTTTGCTGAAGGCTGGCCCAGTTCGGAGGCGGGCAGTTGTTTCATTCTCTAGCAAAGGCACTAACGGTGTTTTGTGCATTGTCAAAGGGTGTGACCGAGAAACAAGCCCTCTTTTCTGAAACTCCGCCACTATCAACTGCTTTCCAAGCAGGCCCTTCCTCCAGCAGACCAGGATAATTAGCCTTTGTTTGCCCAGTACCGTAACTCCTGATGTACTGGAGTTGCCCGTGGCAGGGGGTCAACCGCCGCGGGGCTAGAAGGACAACGCACCAGAATCCCATCGGTATTGTGAAGCACACATCAGACCCAGTCTCTTTTGATGGATTGGGAATCGGCAGTTATTGAAAAACCTGAGCTATGTTTAAATTAGCTTTTTTAAATACAAAGTGATAAAAAAATGTTCAAAATTAACATTTCTAATGACAAAAAAATTAAGTATCTCCAGTTATACATACCAGTATCACACCTGTTGTTACATCCTTGCAATGAAATCTCTGCAATGATTTCACCGTTCTGGTCGGAGGCTGTATTTTCCCTCCTCTCCTCAAAGCTTTCTGTGAACAAAAAGATTAAATTATTTATAATAGTGGACATTTTAGGTAAATCAGGAAAAACAGATGTTTTATCACAACATGGAATTCCATTAATTAACAATAAAACATTGTTAACAATTTGTGGTCCAATAATTTATTTTTGGTTAAGTTTGTTCATTGTACTACTCCTGGGAACAACAATAATTGTTACCTAAGGTTTGTTCCACAGTGGCTTTGTCCAGTTGCTGGGCTGCTGAGTACCCCTGTAGCAGCAGATCTGATGGGAAGACGGGAAGATTAGCACCAAGCCTGTGTTCCAACTCACTGATGCGGCTTGCTAATATCCTAAAACCAGAATCATTAACAAACCTTTCAAAACTATTACAACAATTGTAAAAAATAAATTTTGAATTTGACATCACATTATGGTGCCTAAGTAAAAAAAAACAACAAAAAACAGCTTGTTTTTAAAAAGGCAAATAATCAATGCTGTGATCTCCAAAGAGACCTATGAAGTTATGAAGATTTCATGTTTTAAAATGCATTGAATCACACCTTTGCCTATGAACTACTATATCCATAAAATGGACTTTCCACTTTCATGTAAAGTGTTTGGCAGTTACTATCATTGAGACAAGAAAAACGTTACGTTTGAGACTGCTGTTTTATCAGATTCTAGAAGCTGCTGTCACTGGTTGCAGGCTAAGTCTGACAAGCGGCGGGGAGGGGTAGAGGAAAGAACTAACGTCACTACAGTGTTGCTATCAGCTGATCATATACACTGAAATGTATATTTTAAAAAATCACAGCGACAGTGCAGACTAGGTAGTTCCTTAGAGGCTACTCACTTATTGGCTTTCCTTTGATGATGTAATGCTAGAGTCTTATCCTGCAACGACTCTAACAGCGCCACACACAAACTCTTCACGTCGGCCAACGAAGCCTCTGTATTGGGAACTGCGCCTCTCTCAAGCAGCTCCTGAACTGGATAAACAAAACAAGTAAATCATCCACACTGCCGAGGATCAATATTTCAAAAGAAAACTTGATAACAAGTCACCCTTGATAACAAGTGTAATTTTCAATTCCCCTAGAATTTATTTGACTCATAATCACATGTTATTGAAAAACCTTGATAAAAGCCAACCTTGATAGCAAGTCTTTTTATCAAGAGTCTAGTTATCGAGGTTGAACTCTGTACCGTCTTTAGTTGGGGTAAAAAAGGTGGTTTGTTCACAAGAATTAGTTAGCAAAACAGCTGTTCTAAACATCTTGTTTTGCCCAATACTTTGTTCACTACTTTTCCTCGCTCCGGATGAAAACGTAACAAAAATCTAAGCAAAATTTATTAATTCAATTCAAATATAATCTACAGAAAGTAATCTAATTCTTACGTGTGAAATATTATAACTTAACACCATAAACAACATTTTACTTGAAAAAAGTATATTAATTTATGAAGGTGACTAACAGTATGTAGACAGTATTTTTGGTTTGTATAAGTTGGTTATGATGACATTGTTTATACTGTCGCTTCAATAATTGAGCTCACAAAAATGACCTCAACATTGGGAATGTTCATTGAGCATGTAATAAATTAGTTGTCTACTTAACAAAAACTGATGACAAAATATATTATGAAATTTGTTTTAAATGTGTCGTTTTTAAAGCTGATAAAACTTACCCACTTTTTTCCCTTGTTTGAAAAAGATCCATTTTTCCTACAGTTACCTAACAATGTAAATGTTCTCTCACTGATTTGAGAAAGCAAAGTGGCCAATTCGCTCATCAGTGAGACAATGTTAACATTGTCTCACTCTAATTACTTTGTCTCACTCCAGATTTGCAACGTGAAGGCACGAAATGGTGAGCGCGTAACATGCAGGCAACGTCGTATGCGCGAAATACGTTGGCAGCACTGGCTGTAAATCAGCTGGTCAGCTGTTGTACAGTTGTATTTGTCACTTCACATTAAATGTTATATTAAAAGTTCACTTCTGTGTAAAAATAGGTTATGTTTCTTCACAAATTTATTTGTTTTATGGTAACTGTAGGAAAAGTATAATGTGCAACTCGAGTTCAAAGTACAATTGCCTCACTCGAGAAACCATTCCTCATTTCTCTTGAATGAGTCAATTGCTCACTTTTCTCACTAGTTGCACAAATAACTATTGCTCACTTGTTGCAGAAATATTTATTTTATTTTGTTTTAATTGTATTAATATTGATTTAAACTTTAAAGGACAGTTTAAAATGTAATGTTACAGAACAGGTCATCCTGTTAAGTCACGACTACCAGAGCAGAGATTTTCATAACCTTCTTCAATAGTGTTTGTCATGAGAAAAATTGTTCCATACCTTAGGAAAATGGTAAAAACATTCCAACATATTTAATTATTGCTGAGTTTTATTAGACACAGTGTGCAGGAGCTCCATTTAAACTGATCTACAATGAATTGTGTCATCTCAAGTTCGATGCATCTCAAGGCCTTCCACAAATGTTTTCTGAAGGTTATTTACTTATCGGCATAAAACTATAAGAGAAGTGTTAATTTTTTACCCCACAAATATTTTTAGGATTTCTATAAGGATAGAAGGCTTGACCTGAATGGAAAAGAGTCCAAACTGCCACAAGAAACACAAAACTTTACACTATATAAACGCATTAGAATATTTCAATGTTCCTGATAGCATTTTTAACCAAATTACAAGGAACCTCTCTGCAACTCATACTTAGTTGAAAATCATTTCAGGGACATATTCTATTGAAATATTTTAAAGCTTTGTGTATTGTAAAGTTAAGTGTTTCCTGGGCCCAATTGGACTCTCTGTTATTACTGTTCAATGAAATGGCGACCATACATAGTAGGTATTTTAAGCCAAGTATGAATGGAGATGAGTGTAGGATGAGTGGCGCGACCTTGTAGTCTTATTAGTGACTAAGGCCGACATTCCTTAGACACAGATGTTAATTAATAGCCCATACAGCTAATGGCAACTAAGGGACCTACAGTTTATATTGGAATCCGAACCACATTTTTCCTTGGTATATACAAATTGGTCTAATTATCAGGATAGTACTGCGGATAGTCGTAGTAGTCACTTGTGCGGACGTTAATCCACACCAGGGAGTATCGCATCCACAGTGCATGCTTATAATTATCCACCCTCCTATTAAGGTAAGCCTTCTACCCTCACAAAAAATCCTAAAACCTTACGCCCTTGCGCTCTGTTACATTCTTATCTCACAAATATTGTTTGTTAACTGATCTGACTTCATAGTGATAATTCAGTAGGATATTTTAGGGACGATAAGGCAGTAAGAGTTTCCAAGACCGAGAAGAGTTCTGTAAGAATTTTAACAGAATTACAGATTAATGGAATCTTCCGTTAAGCTGTACCTTGTTTGTGGGAGACGACCATTGCTGAACTCGGAGTGCCAAGTTTCACCATACCCTTGTTACGCTTTTTCTCCAGCATGCTCTGTTAAATGTTAGAAAAGCAGATTTGTTAGTAAGGTTACATTGGTTGCTATAGTCCGTTCACAAAATCTAGGCGGCTTGAGGGGAAGTTCCCCCCCCCCTATTTTTTCCTTAATACAGTATAACTGATTAACGTCTCAGCTGTTGAGCAATTATTTTAAAGGTAAGATCAAGTGGAGGGGGTAGATTTCCCCACCAGAGCCACCTAAATGTTGTGTGCCTAAATTGTAGTGTTGGGGTGCCTATGTTTTATATTAACTATGTCTATTGCATGACTGTTATGCTTAATGACAAGAAAATAATTGATTTCATTGTTGCTAAAAGGAAAGTATGTTTAACATGTGTATTTGTATATACCTCCACGAAATACTGAGTTAAGGCAATTAATTAAATTAGTATAGTGTTTTGGTAGATGGTTTTGGATAGTCGGTAAATACCTATGGTGCAGAAGTTTGGAATATAACAGAGAGTGAAGGGAGTAGGGTTCAAGCGGGGGAAATGAAGTTTGTAAGAGGTATTGAAGGGGGGGGGGAAATGGATAGAATTCAAAATGAAGAGTTGAGAAGAGTAATAGTTGAAGAAAGTTTGAGAGGACGAGTAGACAAATCAAGATTGTGATGGTTTAGCCACTTATGAAGAAAGGAAAATGATAGAATCCCCCAAAAAATGAGCGAGCTTCACATGTACGGAAGAAGACCAAGAGGAAGACCTGGAAGAAGGTAGATTGACGAGGTGAGACGAGTGGAAGCAAGAGGAGTGCAATGGCAGTATGTGGAAGAAGAGGAATTGTGGTGGGACAGCAGATGGAGAGGCCTAGTGAACACCCAGACCCGGAGATAACCGGAACAGGAGAGGATATGTATGTATCAATGAATTAGATTATACTACTGTTGCATTAGTACCTCAACCTTGTTACCAAAATTAATATTTCAACCAAGACTTTAAGAACATAAGAATCAGATGCCAACCTTACCTTATACTTCACTAACGCTTGGTGTGCTAGTTCCTTTTCAGCCTGAAGTTGTTGCACTTGTTCTTGGAGATATCTGTAAAAAAGTTTGTAAAAAGTTATTGTACAAAATTATTTGTATTATCTTCTTGTACTACAAAAAGCATTTTGTAATTTGTAAAATCTTTTTGTACACTTTACAAAGTTCCTCAGTGAATGAAATATTGTGTGCACAGTGTATTTTCTAGATGTTCTATGGCCTACCAACACTTTCATGGTTAGCTAGCTGCTATCCTCCTTTTTCTACAATTCAAAAAAAGCAAGGTATGAGTTAAAGAGAAAGCCATCTTTAAGCTTCACTATTAGGTAGTCTTTGCTAGAGACAACTTTCTACTCATCTTATATCTTCCTTAGTTGAAAATGACGTCAGTGACAGTTAAATTTTCAATGGCTATCGTTTTGGGTACAGCGTAAAGTTTTGTGTTTGTTGAGCTAGATTCCCATCCAAGTAAGCCTGTCCTGAAAGAAAATCCATTCTAAACAATGATGTTTAACAGTTATTAATCATATTATTTGATAAACTGATAGGCAGGTCAACGTACTTGTTATCCATGAGTATAGCGTCAATGTCAATCAGTCGAGCCGTATCTCCGCGCAGCAGCGTGTTGATCTGATGATTCAGTCTCGCCACCTTTGCTCTGTAACACTCTCTCTCATTCACTAACTCTTCCTTCTCGTCCAACACTCCCCGCAGATCTGCCTCCAGCTGACTAGCTCGTCCACTCATCTTCTCCAGCTGTTCTACCTATACCAACAGCTGTTTTTAGACCAAGCATTTTAAATCACAACAAGAATGCTAACCGAGAAGCTAATTTAGGCTATATGAATTCTTAAATTTTAGTTTACACTGATTAATACTAGTATACATTTTATTTGAACATTTTTAACCCTTAAACCATGAATTTATTTAGAATGATTTTTGGAAACTTTCAGAATGGGATTTGAGGTTTAAACACAGTTACCAAATCCACCTTGAGGGTTTAAAAGCCACATGAAACGTTGGACTGAACAACAAGAAAAGAAAAAACCTCAGCAGTAAAAAAAAATATTGGGAAATGTTCCTGACGACAGAACAGCTAGACGGACAGACGGTGCAAAGCATGATGGTAGGACCAGGTCAGGAGTGATAATGAAGAAGCTGGGACTTAATGCGGAGAATGTTGCCCCAAACCTACCAGAGACCCAGTGTGAGGCTAGGAACTGAAAAGGCCACTTCAGTGTGAGAAACTAAACCAAGAATATAATTATCTGTTAGAATACATTGTCTAAACCAGAGAGATTCTCTAATTATTAAAGCGGGATGCCGAGACACAGTAATAACTCATACCAATTCTTCTCGTTGGTGAGCTGGTATAACGTCCTTCACATTATTGGACCTTGATCCTTCTGCGGCTCCAGCCCTCAGAACCTGAGAACAAGACAACGTGAACAGTGCGGTGAAAATTGTATGATAAACTACCTTAAATCACGATTCAATCAATTCAAATATTTCAAAAGGGAGTATCTAATTCTCTAAAAAAAAGCGTACTACTATTGTATGAAAGGCCTAAATGATTGATTAAATGATGGCTTGACTGAGTTCTGAAAATAATGGATGTATTGTATTATTGCGTTATTTAAGTACCGGTACGGTACATTGCGTGACTATTTTTGCCTGATTACCCAGCTATGCTGGCTTGATGTAAATATTTTTCAGAAACAAAAATATTAACTAATATTTGTGTACATAATCCACAATAATTTGAACTTTTTTTATCACAAACACTGTATATGTTACTGTGCACTATTTCATTTAAGGCTTACCTTAATATCACCATAAGCCTCCCTCAACTTCTGCTTGAGATCTTGTATCTCGTATCTCAAAGTTTTGTTTTGTTCTCTCACCTCCATATAATGATCGTAGCTTGAACCTTTGCCAGAGGAATCAGAGTAGTTATCATTGTAAACGCTTAGTCTTCCTCTTGATACCTAAAATTACATATTTATTTTATTAATATATGAATCTTATGTAGGTAGCTATCCAAGATAAAACTCAAAAAGTTTAGATTATTTAATACAAAAAGAAGAAACTAAATATAAATAGTACAACGATTCTATCTAACTTATTAATTTAGGCCTACCGTATCTTTATTGATGACCTTCAAATGAAGAAACTTACTAATTCAGCCAAACAATCCTTCAAAAACAGAAATTATCCTTCTGAAAAGACATGTTTAACATGTTCCATTGTTAAAAATGTGTTTAGCATTAGAGATTCCAATTAAATATTCTAAATAAAGAAGTTTTGTCAACATACTCGTACCACAAAACAACTACCTTCTTTAGAAAAATTCACAAGAAGTCCATCAAAAAGCATTTAAGCACTGTCTTTAGCCTACCTGTGGGAGCCAGCTAATCTGACTTCATGGTAGAGTGTGGGCCTTTGGTACTAGAGGTTCCGGGTTCAAATGCATCCAATTATGAAACGCTTTCAGCTAAGTTAGGTGATAATGATATGATCCTCTAGACCTAAGCACAATTTGACTAGGTATGTAAAACGCTTACGGGCTTGAGCCTATAGTCCTATAACTTAGAATGTGAAGGTTGGACATAAAAAAATTGTTTTTAAGTTTACCTGATCGTCAACACTTTTCTTAGGAAGTGTACGACTCTTGGCCTGCTCTGCTAGCAGCTTAAACTGATCACGTTCCGTGCGACATTGTTCCAGCTCTTGGGTCAAGATGATTAAAGCCTCAGCTTTACTCTGGAGCTTACGCCTCAAAACTGCAGCCTGGGTAAAAATATGGATAAAATTAGATAAGAGGTTAAAAGCTTCAGTAGGTTTAGGTGCATTTATTGGACGCACGTTTGGCCTATTTATTGGATTTCCGTTGGGCCTGTTTCAAGTTTGTCTATCACTGATATTATATCACTATTATTATACTAATAACTCGAATTTAAGAGAGCTTTATGTGTACTTACTGCAAAAAAACAAATGCTGGAGCTGTGACAATGTTTAAAATAGGAATGGTGTAGTAATTTAAACTGTAACTTTTGTATTTAATTATGAGACCTATCACCTTGAAATAATTTTAAATTACATTGATTTATAGTATCTAAGTTATAACCTTAATATTCTATGGCAAATTGCACATTATTTAAAACTTATAAGAATATCCTATGAATAGTCTAACCTCTGCAGCATAGTTGTCGACATATTCCTCCATTGTGTGGTTAAAAAATATATCATTCACTAAAAACTACAAGACAGAATGATTTGATATGCATCACAATAATTAATTCTGAAAGATTATATGCATAAAATATGAAATATATAGGCCCTACTAACTAACAGACGGTTTGATACTTTTCATTTTGATTTGACAGATCATGATCATGACAGAGATGTGAAAAGCAGAAACGTCAAAAAAGCAAAACAAGAATATCACCACACAGACAGGACAGGAGAAATGCAATGTTTCCATGAACCAAACAAAAATCCCTCTTACCGGTCAATAAAATTTTGTTTTATCATACGATCCTACATTCTTTTTTAATCCCATGCAGAGTCCTAAAATCCCGTTTTTGTAATAAGAATCCCGCTTATTCTGTTCTGTACACACATAACCAACACAGAAATGTACTGCAGACCCACCAAACACGAAAGCGGCATCATTTACTAAACTTTCTAATAAAAAAAATAAAATTGTATTCTTTCTATCGTTTGAATTGTATAGAAATATTTAATCTATGGTTCTACAACAACTTAGTGAAAGCAACTGCATAGCTGTTAACAGCGCCAGCTTTATCAAAAACAAAAAGTCTGCTAGAAAAATAATCTGGCCTTATCAATTCTGTGTTTCTGTCTGAAATACTGATTCTCTAAAAACTAACCTATTTAATTTACCTGTTATAAATTGATAGGCAAAGGCAAGACCTATTATTCCAGTAAAAGTAAAACAGTTAATTATAACCTTTTGTGAAAGAGAGGCAATAAGAAACGCTATCTATAATTTATAAAAAATCTTCCAGTAAGTAGCATTAATTTTACTTACTTAATCTTAGGTAGGCCTACTCTCTGGCTAACTTAAGTTAGCTTCAATACAACTTTTTTGAGCTGGGACGAAAATACAAGGTAGGCCTAGGCTAAATAAACCACCATTAATATTTAACTTAAGCTACTTTTATGTGTAGAGGCACTTATCAGGTCTCTAGAGGCAAACAAAAGTAGGCCTAGGCCTACCTAGTATAAGAATAAGAGGCTATTTATTTTACCTTGGCTTTGTTTAGGTGGTTGTACCTAATTCCAAGGGTGGATGACATGTTACCAGGCATGGAGGCATGTTAAAAAACTTAGCATAATGAATTTAGAGTTCTGTATCGTCCTCCCAAATTTAATCTTTGCTGATCAATTTACACCATATTTTAATATGCTTACCACACTTTTTTTAGAGTTTAATCCTCTTTTTAAAACAACTGATTTATTAGATTTTTTGGGCGCTGACACAACAGACAGTGTATTTCAAAGCAATGAGTGAAGGACTTGGTTAGTGTAGGTTGGAGAGAAAATAGCGGCTGCAATTTAGTATCTGTCCTACACTCATTCTAATCGATCAATATAGCCTATCATTCATGTAAGGACCTTTAAACTTAAGTACTGTACTTACTTGAATACTTGAATACTTGTCTTCTACATCGTTGACCGACATGTCGGATAGATTGCGTCATGTTACTATTTACATATAAACACTATAAAACCATTAAAAAATATCTACATATACTTTTACTTCTACTTTTGTGGCGGACGTGTCACGTTAAAAAAAGGGGTTCACTCTCCAACTCATGCAAGGCGTACAATGGCCTATTCAGCAGTCCATCACGTATCTCCCTCTTAAAGTCTGGCAGGTCCATGTCACGCACTCGCTTAGGCAAGGTGTTGAATACCCTAATTGCCGAACGCGGGTAACTCCTCATTGTCTGTGCAAGTCGGCACCGAGGCATGTCAAGGTCTGGGGCTCTGCGGGTATTGTGGGTGTGGACCTCCTCCCTCCTGCCAAAGAGTCCCACCTTGTCTTTGAGTAGTAAGGATGGGTACAGCCTAGTTGATTTTATGTTTATGTAAGCGTACCTAACTTATATAAAGCCCAGTAAAGAGGGGATCTGGGTCCAGATTTGAATCATCATAAAGCTCTTTTCTGGAATCAAACCTTTTAATTACTAGGTGACCACTCAGCTATAAGTTATAACAACAAACTAAGTAAGTTGAAAGATAAAAACAATAGACATAATTTAACCCTAGATTGATAACCCGTCGTCTCAGAGACTACGCTATTCACATTTTTGAATTTGGCGCTCAAACCAGTTGTTTATTTTTCCACTCCGCCGACGCCAGCTCAGTTCCCATCCCGCCGGACACGTGAGTGGTGGGAATTCGCAACCCCCGCAGTAGTTCATGTAGTAGCCTAGTGGCGAGTAGTCAGATTGACGAAGCCTTACCGTTACTGTGTGTGTGTTTTATGTTTGAATTTTTTATGTTGATTTTATGTTTATGTAAGCGTATTTTATGGAACGATTTACATAATGTTGATAAACTCAAATGTTAAATATGTGCACAACCTAGTTTCAAAAGGAGAAAGCCGCTCGTAAGAAGGCAGTTTGGCAAAATTATACACTGTCAACTACTCAAATACTGGATGGAAGGTTTGCAAATACAATCTTTGAACTTGCCTCTCAAAGATAAACAAATGCAAAATATTCTTAAAGTTTAAATATTCCTGTTACCCCAGATATTCCAAATAACAAAGAGGACAAAAAATATGCAGCTTCTGCCCTTCGAAGAAACATCACACTTCTGCAGCCGCACAGGGTGATGTGTGAAGAAAACCAATGCCAATCGTAGGAAGAATGTGTAAACTGACTTTAATTCCCCAAAAGTTCATTTTCATCATTGTTTTTGTTTTCTAACAACTGTGAGTAGTTAAAAGTGTTATTTTGTACAAAAATGAATTTTTACATATTTCCTTTTAGAAAGTAGTCTCCTTGACGAAGCGTTACCGTTTAGGTTTTTTAGCATTACCAATCTAGGGTTAAGTTGAACTTTTCTTTTCCATTTATTGTTTTTAATCTAATTATAGTCTATTAGGGTAGCCTAAGCTATATTTTTATACTAACTTTTTACTTGATGACTATTCTAGGCATGCCCACCATACACTGTAACTGGTGGTAGCCTATTCAAAGTTTAGGACTTTATGAAAACATCTCATGGAATAAGAATTTTACTGTTAGGATTTAATTTAAGAGTAATAATAAAAAATATGCTTATGGTTTATGTCATTAAGAATAATCCGTCTTAACTTCATTTAACTTAAAATTTACAGAAATGAGTGCGGCTACTATGAAAAAATCTGCTCTGTTTATTTGCCTGGGTAACATCTGCCGGTCGCCAATCGCAGCTGCCGTGTTCCGTCAGGCTGTGCGGGACCGAGGTGAACAAGACAAGTGGATCGTGGAGAGTGCGGCTCTCGGGTCCTGGCACGTTGGTAATCCTGCTGACTATCGAGCCCAGGAAGTTCTCAAGTCACATAATGTCGATCACAAACACTCAGCCAGGTATAGTGCCCACGATATTAAGACTCTAAAAAATGTTAACCAAAGGTCCAATTTCTATCCTGTGACTGTTATGACTCTAGTCGCGCGTCTCTAAAAATTGACTGCTTCAATGCAAAGTAAATGCAACCCATCCCTATGGAGCGTTTACAGACGCGCGACTGGAGCAACTAGAGCCGAGCGGCTAGAGTCAACACGACTCGACTGCTCCGTGAGCAGTCCAGTCGCGCGGCTGTAAAGAATTTATAGTTTGTACATACTAAAGGTGTGTATCTTCATAGATGATTCAAAGTTGATGGAACTGGTTTGTCACCACCCATACATTTTTAACCCCAAGCACCCCCAATACTTGAAGAAGATGTCTCTGAATAAGAATACTCTGAAACCCCTCTTTTCGCCGTACCATGAACAATGGATTAGGATGTTAATTGTTCACTGTTTTTTACCATGCACATTAATATTTCCTTTTCCTCCTCTTCTCTAAGTAATATATTCGCTGCCAACTGTGCTTATTCCAGCCGTGGAATTGAGCCGTACGGCTCTAGATGCGCGGCTGCAGCCAGGCGACTAGAGTCGTATCAGTCGCCGCATAGGAATTGGACCTTAAGGTCTTGATCAAAAAGTACAAAATGCATAATCATTCCAGAATTTCCGGTCAGGATTTGTTAATATTCATCCAAATTTATCACATGTCTAATGTCAGGGAAGAGGGGTTGTTTGGGAGTTTATTTGAATTTAAATGAGTTTTAATTACTTATGATACCGAGTGTGGTCGTTGTTGGTATACTGTTTTTGATTTAATTGTTTTTCCGTGCAGGCAAATAAAAAAGGAGGATTTCAATAAGTTTGATTACATATTTGGGATGGACGATGAGAATATGAAAGCTCTGAAAAAGATGGCGCCAGAGAATTGCAAGGCCCAGGTTCTGCTGCTGATATCATTTGATCCACAAGGCGATAAGACCATCAGGGACCCGTACTACGACTCTGACAGCCGGGGGTTTGAGCTGTGCTACCAGCAATGTGTTCGAGCCTGCAACGGATTCTTGGACGGGTTAAGACAGTAGGTCATGGGATCAACATAATACTATTTAAATGCCTGGCTACTTAAATACTCAATTTGTAAAGAAAACAGCTCAAACGCCTTGTGGCAGGCTTGAAAAACCTACCAAAAATTTATCATTCACTCTTGCTGTTGAAACACTTACACAACTTGTAAAGTTGTTTTTTTTAATAAGTAACGTTAATATTCTGGTTACATGCTCTAAATAAGCGGTTTACAAACTTTTCTGGAGATTTTCTATGAAATATATCTATCAGATCTATTGCAAGAATATAAAGATTTATTTATTTTATATAAATTGCTTTTGAGAATATAACATCAAAAATCAATTAAGTTACTAAAAAAACCTGTATTGTAATGTTCTTGCTTTACAATTTGTTTAAGAGTAGTAGGGCCTACCCCTAAGTTTAAGTTTCCCTTTCTAAACACAACCGTATATCTCAAAAATTTTGCCAATCCTATTTTATTTTTACGATAAGAATTATTTTGACATTCCACATACCTCAAGAGGGTGGGAGTTTGATCCATGTTTACAAAGTGAAAAGTTAGTCTAATAAAATATGTTAGGAATTAATTTATTTAACTACATGTATAGTTTTAATAATAAATTTTGCCGAAGAATTTAATATTATAAATTTGTTAAAATGTGTATGTTGTGCTCTTTATAATGTTAAAGTATGTAGGCTAAGGCAATTTATAACAGATCTTTATTTTGATTGGTTTAACCATTTTAGCTATCTCTAATGATATTACAAGGACCAAAGCTGAATTTTTGTGTGTACATATCACCAACTTCCTTCATAATAAACCTGCGTACTCAAAAATATAGGTATCATCCTCTTCTTTATATATATATAAAAACTATGTTAGTTTTTTTTTTTAAATCTTGCATGATAAAAGGTGGTCCCACCAAGGATTTCTGAAGCTAATAAACAACTACAGTAATGAAATTGAATTATTCTTGCATTTAAATTGTGATATTTATCAATTAATTCAGATTTTTCTTTTAATGAATTTCAGAATGGATAATGAATGTGTTTCACAACATCACTACACTTGTTTCTTTTGTTTGGTAATGTTAAAATGTACTGAACTACAAAGTAGTGATGTGCGATACGTATTGTATCGTATCGGAATATCGCGATACGCGAGGGACGATACGATATTTCGATACGATATTTGAAAAACGATACGTATCTTATCGCCTAAAACGATGCATTTATATCGGCACATAGAGCGATACGATTCATGTCAAAACGATATCTTTAAGCTTTTTTTGCGCAGGCCGAGCAAACTGCAAAATCTGTACTCTGTGGATGTGTAGTTTGAAATAGGAGTTTTTGACGTCTGTATTTTTGATTTTTACTTGATAATGTACCAGTCCCATCCCAGTCCAGTCCAATTCCACTAGCGTGCTATCTAGCACTAGCAGTGCAGAGTGTGGGAACTGTTTGTGGCAATTACATTAATGTATCTGCAATACTAAGACTGTTTTCAGAGTAAACTAATGATTTTCCCCGAGCAAAGCTTGGTCCCCAGGTACTTATATAAATTTGCCGTTTCTAGGTTAGGTAGGGGAGGGGGGAAACGATACGATACGTATCGTTTTTCGATATTTTTGACGATACGATTCGCGTATCGCGATACAGACGCCCGATTCAATATGGCGATACGATATTTTTTTCCGATACGTACCGTATCGCTGTATCGCGATACGCGTCCGTATCGCCCATCACTACTACAAAGCAGGCACAAAACATGACTTGTAGTTCAAACCATACAAGAAGTTTTATGTAAAATGAAACAAAACAAATTATATTTGATTTAGATTACAACCATGTTACTAATATTCAAATGAGCAAGAAAGACAATTTGGTAGCACTTGAAAAGTGTTTTTGTGTAATGAATGTTATTGCTTGTGATAAGAGTACCTGCGTAAAGTCTGCATGGATTAATAATGCAATTTTTGTTGTAAATAAAGGCATTTTTAACATAGATTTTTTGTTATTGGCCTTGAGTAATGATGGGAACTGTTTGAACAATTTCTTTTAGACTGATTACCACTTTTGAGAAAGAAAACCACGTAGATCACAAAATTAGAGCATAAAGACCCTCCTAATACAGACACACATGCGTCATTTGCTGTGCTCAGTGCAAGTCTTATTCACACATCAAAACAACAGAGTGCTCAAAAGTTACGAACGTGTCCTCTGCTCAGAAATCAGCAAATACCAACACAGTAGCTTGGAAAATGTATCATTTGCGGACCTACCTTTAGAATAAAGGTGATACAAAGGAAACCCTTGGAAGTCAATTGATGAAAAGAATAAACTAACTAATGATATTGCTGATGAAACCTGAAATTATGAAATAAAGTTTGTGGCTTAAATGTGAGAAACTGTAGTTTACAGCTTTGGATATTTAACATTCCTGTGTTTTTAAAGCCCAAATTATTTAGGTGATCTTGGTAAATTTTGAAATAAAAAACATTTTTTTCTATGTTTTTTAAAATAGTATTTATTTTTTAACATTGTATAATTTATTTTATATTTAATATCAATTCACTTGATGAAATATAAATATACGTCTAATGTTACGTTTCAACAGCATAACAAATTTCTTACTCATACCTATTTTAATAGCTAAATAATTTGATCATAGTAAACACACTGTATGAACACAAAGATATTAATAGAGGTTTACTAAACAACTAGTCTTAACACAATATGTTAGATAATGGTTACAATCAGCCAATTAATTCAATATAGTTATCAGAAAAACTGTTCTTTGAAAGCTTTGGGAGATTGTGTGTCAAGCGGCTTTTAATCTGTTACATAATGTTTTTTTTAGGATTTAGGCCAACTTGTTTGTGTACCTCAACAGAATCACACCTTTTGAGAACTTTTTGGTTACCATCTGTGGCTTATAGGTGTTTAAGTTTTACAGAATAGCCAATGATTATAAATTGTTTGTAACCAATAGGATACCTCCAGGATTGTTGAAATTGGGGGAAGATAACTTATAATCAAGGGGCAGTAACATTGTAACTGAAAATGAATATTTTACTGAATAACTTTTAATTTTAAAGGTTTTTTTTTAGAAAACTATTTTAAATTCCGATGTCATTTTGGAAGACAACATTTCAAGTGTTCATAGTCCTCTGCTGTCAATATGATACTGTACAAAAGAGTTTAAATAAGGAGAGCAAAAATACATTGAAGTAAGTTATATGTCATGTAACTTACATTAAACAAATTTAGTTAACTAAATACTTTACTCTTCAGGACAGAATAATAAGCTACTTATTTTACCCTGATTTGTAGAGTTATTACCTGCATCTATTTATTAAACAATAAACTAGGTCTATTGAAAATTTAGTTAGTTAAAATATGGGCCCTAAAAAGATAACATAAGAATTTTACTAATTTCAGTAAGATTTTTACCTATCATAATAAGTAACAAAATTATCCATAACAATATTGAGTTATAAGTTATATTATAATATCACCATCAAGTATAAGAGATTACGGACATTACAAACAATTGTTACATTAAGAATTGCAAAGTCTGTGACTTCATATAAGTACTCTAAATAAACATAGTCCAGAGCTTTCTATTGTTAAAGTACCAAAATATTGCCTATAGGTTGTTTTCCGCTGAGAAATAAACCACGAAAAAGTCACGATCTTGCATCATTCACTGTTGCTGGTATCCTAACTTCAACACCGTCCAAATCTTTTGAAAGTAGTATTTGACATCCAAGTCTCGACCTGCACAAAACATCAGTATAATCCACGGCAAGCCATTTAGGTAGTAAAAGCTATGCATTCTAAAGTTATTGAACATGTTATATATTTATTTGACTAATAAAGTACCCAGAGCTAGTGGCAAATATGGCATAAGACTAGGGTTGAGATGGCTTCTGGGCGTTTCTAAGCATTCCGAACCATCAAAGATATAACGAGTTAAGTCAGGCTAAATGAGGTAGTGAACTGGTTTTGATATTGGCTTAACTGATGATCAGATGCAAATGGCAGTAGTCTTAGTCTTGCAATCAAACAGTAGGAAAAAAATGTAAAAATATATATTTGACAATTGCAAACCTCTCAAATTTTCTCTCGGATCACAACAAGCTTGGCTTAGTAACCACAATGTTTGTGGGAACCGAACAGCTTGAGTGAATAAACGGATGGACAGAAAAGCGAAAAAGAAAATAATTATATCTTGTCATGGCTAAAACGCACTTAGTGATAGCGTTTTGGACTTTTTGTTTTCCAGACATAATCTAGGTTCAATGTCTGCTGGCATTATATTAACTGCGGTTACCACACCACAGGGCTTGACTGTACTTTAATATGTCACAGTATTCCATTGTTTTTGAACAATGGAAAGATAGAAGGTCTGCGATAACAGACATTTGAGATAAAATAAATCCTTTCCCTATAAAGAAGAGAAGATAAAATATACAAATGATGAAGAGAATATCATTTGAAGAAGAATGTCATTTATACTTCGAAATTACCTTCTTTCATTAAGGTCCAAATATCTTCAGATAACTATGTACATGTGTTAACATGCAATGGCTAAAACTGGAGTAAATAATTCTTTTTTTAATATTGAAATTTCAAAAACAAAATAAAATACCCCCGCCGCAGCAAACCTGTCGACTAAGCGAACTTCCTTTGTCTGAATTGATTTTCTATTAAATCTATTTAAATAACATTAGGTTTAACGAGAACGTAGGTTTGCTGCTACAAAGAAACTAATAAAGTGTGTTTTTTAGTAAAATATTAATAGCTTATATAAAATAAATAAGTTTGCCAAGTTTGATCAAAATATATAGATAAACAAGCAAACTACAACATTTAACAATATTCTCCATATGGATAGCATGGAAATTTTTTAACTTACAATTTTTTTTTAAATTTTATCCGTTACCAATAACCGTACAGAAACACTTTGATATAGGCTACTAAATTATTTGTTTTTATAAGCACTTTAAAAAGGTTTAGCCAATTTTTACCCCGTAAAACCGCGTTCCCATGGTCTGATTATGCTGGTTCTCGAACTCATTCTAGTTAACCCATTGGGGAAGGAATTAATGCGCTACCTGCAGCACCCTCTGGCGGCAATTAATTTTACCGAATTTGTAGACTTTTACTCTAACTGCTATAGAAAGAAAACCTTAGGTAATAAATTAATAATTCTTTCACCATTTTGTTCACAGTAAAATTGTCTACAGAAAAGTGGTAATTGGATAGTAAAAGTTCTAAACTAAAAAAAAATATAAATATAAAGATTATAAAAATAAAAATTTTAAAAACAATATTTTGAAAGTAAACTTGATATACAAATTCCAAGATTAATCCAGACACCAAATAACACTACTATTATAAAGTTCAATCGATTCCCTACGTAGAAAAATCAAAAGTTGTGTACTTTTATAAGTAATAAATTTTTTTTTAATTGTTTGTTTACCTTACCGCAGCTGATTTTTGGTGATATGTGGTTTCCATGGCAACACAAAATTGTTTGTTATTCGCTAAAATAAATGAGTAAATACGCAAATCAAGAAGCAAGATATTTATAAACATTATAATAGTAAGAAGAAACAAAAAGGGCGAAAAATAATAATAACTAAATAACTAATGGCGCTGCCTAGCGGTGACACGAGCGGCACTCGTAAGTCGGCCGCCGGACCTGCAGCGGCCGTACGAGTAACGCTCGTAAGTCGGCGCCAATGGGTTAATCAACCGCCTTACACCTTCAAACCAAATTTAATAAAAAATTACTCAAATTTGAACAACGAATAGTGTTTTTGACCTCTGGGGGCATCAAAATGAAAAAGTAAATCGGTCCTGGGTCCAGGTCTTACCATGAGACCTACGGTAATAGCTACTTCCCCATAGGGAAATTGGCTAAAACCCCACTAACCGAACATGACTGTTAACCCTAACAGACTTACGTTGGTGTAAGATCATATGCTAGATCCAGCATATCCAGTTCCTCATCACACGGCTTCTCAGGTAATCTGTCGTAGTCTTCTTGTTTGAAGATGCAATGACATGTGGAACAGGTGAGGGTTCCTTCACAAGCACCTGAAATGTATTAGGGTAATTAATTTGAATAGTTAAGAAAAATGTATTTTGAGACATTTTAATTGTGTGTTGAGTTGACATTTAAAAACAACTCTTAAAACCACCCTGTTTGTATACCACAAAACCACCTTGTTCCAACTCAAACATTGATTATCACGTGAACTGAAAGAATCAGGTCAATTATGTTGGTTCTTTGATTGACAAAAAGAAACTTTAATAAACTCCTAAGATAGCTAGGCTAATGAAGATTTTCAAAGGTTGTATGATTCGCAAGAGCTGTGAAAACATTTCTTTGTTATTTTTACTGAGTTAACTTGATGTGAATGTAAGCTTTCTTACCAAATCCATCAAAGTCTAAATTATTGTTGACAACTACGTCCAGAAGAGAATCACCTTCTTTCCCTTTGGAAGTAACTCGATCACCGTTAGCTTTGATAAATGTTACTTTAAACCTGAAAATACATTTCAAAGTTAAGTAGTTTTAACAGAGTACATTTTTTTACCCTAGATTAAGTTTAACTCACCATAGTTCAAGGCATGACAAAATCATGAGTCAAGTTACATCTTTTGAAAATATACAGTGAAGGATTTATCGTCGATGTTTTAAATAAATAATAATAAATAGTAATAATTGAGTATAAACAAATGATTAATTATCGGATAAGTACGGTAATTAAACAAATTATCAATATTCAATTCAATAATGGACGCTCAGTTAGGTAACAGTGGTATTAGAGTCAAATGGTTTTAAGAAAAGGATTAATCGTAAATGTTCCAAGATGGCTAGATGAGAGCCCTGATTGTCGTTGACGAAGACGAAGGGCGGGACTAGACACAAATCGGTATCCTGCGCATCCAGTTGGATTGACTTGAGAACTGCTGTAACGCTTTTGAACTCAAAAATGGAAATTTTCCGTTTTCATGGTGTTAGCAGTTCCAGGGTTGAGCAACCGACGCGCAAGCTCGATGACGAAGCAAGGCTTCTTCATCTTCACTTGTCTCGAGATAGTTAACGTCTACTACAGCTTTTGTTTAATCAGCACCGTTCCCTTTCAAATAAAATAAGTTATTTCTATGCAATCTACTAGTTACCGGAGGTATGTTAATACCTGCAGTTTAGTCCGGTTTAGGCTATATCAAGTTATCGGACAATGTTCGTGCCGGTCTATGCATTTTTCTAAAATTACCTAAGTTAACACTCGAGGAGAAGTTCGGCTAGGCCGGACGACGCCATGACACCCACACCGGCATCAGGCATGGGGACGGCACGCTCATCAACCTAGACTCGGAGGGTGACCTATCTACACTACAGGCTGTGAACATCTCATTCAAATTCAAATTCAAAACTTCTTTATTCTGTCACATGTAAATTGTTTACAAAGAATAGAGTCAGACCTAACCTAAATTATACATATTATTAATATCTAAAAATACATCCCATAGTTGTTTTCAGCTCTTAGGACAATATATACAGGGTGACTGCCGGGAACCGGACGTTTTTTAAATTAATAGTACAACCTTATTTTATATAGTAAAATTATTTAATTGTTGAATATATATTGGTGAAAACATACCATTTCAAAAAACATATGTTTTATGGAACCTTTTATCCTAGTTTGTGTTTATTTCTTAAAGATGATATCATGCATGTGATGGCCGTTAACCTGGATACAGGTTTCCAACCTCTGGAGAAAATCATTACGCACCCTCATCAACATGTATTGTCCAATCAAATTCACCTCTTCGGTGATTGCATCTTTTAGCTGCAATAATGTTCGTGGTTTGTGAACATAGACACGAGCTTTCAAATACCCCCGTAAGAAATAGTCACAGGGCGACAAATCTGGTGACCTCGGCGGCCACGGCACGTCGCCAAAACGTGAAAATCAACTTGCCAGGGAACATCTTCTTCACAACTCGCATCGATGCAGCGGCAGTATGCGCTGTGGCCCCATCTTGTTGGAAGTAAACATTTTTCACGTTTATTCCTCGCCTCCGAAGTTGTGGCTTGAGATATGTTTCCAACATGTGAACATAGCGTGCAGAATTCACTGTCACTGTGACTCCATTTTCCTAAAGAAAAATACGCACCAATTATCCCATAGTGGCCTACAGCACACCAAACCATTACTTTTGGAGAGTGGAGTGGTTTTTCATGAGCCCAATATCGTAAGTTTTGTTTGTTCACTGAACCGTTTAAGTGGAAGTGAGCTTCGTCGCTCATTAACATCATTACATCAGGATTATCAGTAAACAACACCTGCATACGTACTGCGAAATCTTCTCTTTGTCCATAGTCCCTCTCTTTTAGTTGCTGTACCACCTGTATTTTGTAGGGATGAAATTTCAAATCTGATTTTAAAATTATTCTGACAGAATCGCGCTTCATGCGTAGCTCTTGTGCGTGTCTTCGTGCAGAGCGACCCGGGCTCCTCATCAAAGCAGTTCTCACTGTGGTGATGTTGTCTGGTATTCTCACTGTTCTTGCTGGACCGGGTGGCTTTTTCTTTGATACTGTTCCTGTTGTTCTGAACTTGTACACCCATCTTAGCAATGTATTCCGGCTTGGAACCGTGTCATTTCGCGCAATATTAAAGTGGCGTCGGAAGATACGCTGTGTTTTGATAACGGATTCGCCATTTTTAATAAATGTGTCATATGCAAAAACACGATGCTGAACTGACCACTGATCCATCGTGACTAAAATGGTAAAGCTTACTCAAAACAATGACATAACCTCAATCTCCCTAGCACGTGTAGCAACAATGTAACAGCTGTTGCAAATTTGTCCGGTTCCCGGCAGTCACCCTGTACAACATAGTACGTTACACACATCACTCCAAGAAATCGTGGAAAAAAATAAAATAAAATAACTACAACTGAGTCTTAAAAATTAATAAAAGCAATACTTAAAATAAGGATTATATACATACAGTTATTACTATATCCTAGAATAACCACGTGCAGCAAAAAATTTTTTAAAATTATAATTTTCAGGTATGTCTTAAATATAATAATTTTGACTATGAGAAAAAAATGTTGGAGAGAGTAAAACGTTGATTCAATCAAGTATGCCTTCAATAGTCTCAAAAACTTATTTTGGTTTTTTTCCAATTTAATACTTCCCGGGAGGCCATAAAAAAATCTATTTCCTACATATGTTGTTTTCTTTTTGAAAAATTCCAAATTATGTTATTCTACTAAACGATGAGCTCTAGTATTATAAGAATGTGTTGTATTGCCAATCGAAATCCTATTGCCAAGTAATGTGAACTTTATTGTTTCATAAATGTACAAACTGTAAACTGTGAATATTTTTAAATCTTTAAATATGTGTTTTACAGAATCTTTTGATTTTAAATGAAACATTATTCTTAAAGCTATTTTTTGCTGAATCAGAATTTTATCCATTTTCTTCTTTGTTGTTGATCCATATATACAAACACCATAAGCAATATGTAAATGTATTAGAGCAAAATATATGGATTTTAAGGTTTTAATATTACAGGAGTAGACCAGTCTCCTCAAAGCATATAGACCACTTGAGGTTTTATTCATAATATGATTAATATGGTTGTCCCAAGATAGGTGTTCATCTATAGTCAAGCCTAAAAATTTGATTTCATTTAAATGATTTAGTAATTTTATTTTTTGCTTTTTTTTGTTGAAAAAGAAACAAAACTTGATTTACTAGAGTTTAATAGCAGATTTTTACTATTTAAAAAGTCTTTAATCAGTGATAAGCCAACATAAAATGATATTTCTATGTTCTCTTTAGTGTTGGCTGAGACAATGACGTTGGTATCATCTGCATAAAGACACACTTTTCTATTTCTGTCCTCCATCATTCTAGGTAGCCCTTTAGGTAACATAGAAACAGTAAAGGGCCGAGAATAGATCCCTGAGGGACACCGTATTGGATTGGTAATGGACGAGAAGCAAATTTTTCTTTATACATAAACTTCTGATGATCTGTAAAATACTCTATTTCTACATATCGTTTCCTTTCTGTGAGGTAGGAGCAAAACCAAGCCAACTCTGTACTATTTACACCTAGAGAGCTTATAACTTGGATCAGTTTGCAGTGCTCAACACTATCAAAAGCTCGGGATAAGTCCAAAAAAATGCCAACGACTCTTTCACCTCTATCAACAGAATCGATTATTGACTCAACAAACTCAATACCAGCTGTTATAGTTGACTTATTTGGCCTAAAACCATGCTGTTCATTATCCAGCAACATGTTTGATTCAAGGTAGTTTGAAGATTGGTTGAAAACAACTTTCTCAAGGATTTTTGAGAATACTGGAAGCAGTGATATAGGCCTATAACAATTAATATCTTCAGGATTACCTTTTTTGAAAATTGGAACTACTTTGGCAGTTTTGAATTGTTTGGGGAACACTCCTGTTATCAGTGAATGATTGATTATAAGAGTTAAAGGTGAGCAGATTAATGGCAACGCTGTCTTAATGGTTGATATAGGTATTTCATCATTGCCTGATGAGGGTTTATTTTCAAAAGATAATATTATTTTTTCAACATCTCTCTCCGTGACAGTTGAAAATTGAAAAGTTGTATTTAAATGTGTTTTAAACTGAGTATTTGTTGGTGGCACTATGGTTATTTTAGGAACTATCAAATCTTTTACAATATTGACAAAAAATGTATTAAAAGTTTCGCAAATATCAATTGGATTTGTGATATAACTACCTTTGTGAATCAATTTTATATTTGTATTACATTTTGACAATTTTCCCAATTTGGAATTAATTAAGTTCCAGGTAGTTTTAACTTTATTTCTTGAGTTTGTAACGTTTTCTCAAAGTTAGTTTTTTTATTGTTAATAATACATCTTTGAAGTTCTTTTTTCTAACTTCATCTCACCTCTAACCCTAAGCTAAGTGTTTATACTTAAACTTAGTGGTTATGGCTACACAAAGATTCTATAGCCTTAAATTTAGTTTTTTGCAATGTAAATTAACTTAATTTCACTCTTTACAACCAAATTCTATGGATTGATTTTCTTTTGTGTACCTAACTTATTCTGAAATGTAAAATTTAAAACATCTGGTTTAGTCTAAATTAATAAAAAAATCTTTTATGTTCTGAGAATTCTTCATTTATTAAAATGAAATAAGCCCCACCAAACCACACGATTAACCTGAGATAAGAGGAAGGCTCTACTAGCCTAAAGTAAGTAAACTAATAAATTAACTTAAATATGAAACTGGTGTGATTGACTGTGTGATAGGCCTAACACTAGTCAATAGTCAATTTAAAGAAAAATAGCGCATCGTTACAGAATGGCGCCCAACGTGGGACTTTTCGATTACTACTGCTCTTTCGCTCTATTAAGCCGCGCCTGAAGTTGTTCTTGTTTAACGTCTATTATATGCCGGACGGGTTTATAGTTTTCCTTCTAATGCCTGTAGTCTAAGTGACGTACCTCATGTTGATGACGGATTTGTAATTCACCATCGTCGATTTATACCTGAGGTATCGTGGGATTCTTGGCGTGTACAAAATTCGGCGAGTCCGTACACTAGTAACCTCACCCATCAGCAAGTTAATGCCTTTGCGTAACTCAGCTTCCTTCATTGGAAATCGCATTTTGAAGACTTTGTGATCGCCATGAACATGGTTTCTGGTAGTGTAAGCACTTTCTTCTTCGTTTTCTCTTCTTGGCATAACATGCATTTCAGCGATGTCACATGAAACAAATATTTCTTTTCCTACATTGTACTTCTCCCAGTTGATGCGTCCCAAGCACTTTGGATATTTCTCAAACAGCCTTTGGGCATGTGGACCAATGGCGTTTAGGTCATCTTCCAATTCAGTAGCTCCATATTTTTCTCCGATTATGTCATCAGGATTCAAGAGCAAATGGTTTGCCCATATTGTCCCAGGGATAGGGTTGTGCTCTTCAAAATATGTTCTTGTAGCTTCTTGTGTAGCTGGATTTGATAATGCCACAACAGTCTGACGAAGATTGCTGATCCGTAGATTTTCAGGAAGCGGAACGAACTCTCCTGTCTCTGAGATGTGATCCACAGGCATGGAAGTAAAACATGATTCGGTTGTATCTTTAAACAATCCGATTGAATTTACAAAAGTCGCAATTGGTTCAGGAACCCGAACTGCGGTTGTACTTATATTTTGAAACTCGGTGTCACGCTTCAATTTCGGTAGCTCTTCTATTTCATCAATGGCTTCTGAGATTCTTGTTGATGTTTTAAATAATTTTGTTTCAATAAGGCTTAATCCGATGCGATAGTATTGGTTAATGGTGCCTCTATTTGCGTTGGCCATTTGCGACAGCTTTTGATCGACATTGGCAGTGTTTAGCATATTAGTTAGTCCGAATCCAATCTGTCTCGTTGAAATTTGTAATGGTACTGCAGTCTCCGTTAGTGCTGCTTTTTTAGTAGCAACGCCTGTTGCTTCATCTTTCAGTCCTGCTAATAGTTTTCCTCTGATCGCCTTTTCGAACGATTCACTATTATCCATACCCACACTCTCTCTGTGCGCCTCTACACTCCTAGCCTGGAAATTCCGTCTTCCTCGCGACTGGAATCGATTTCCTCGGTTGACTCTTGTCCGGCTTTGGAGGAAGGCTCTTCCATGGTTGACTTGTTCGCTTGAACTTCCATGTACCCATGGGTCGACGTAGCCTTGGTAAGCATTATTGGTGTTATTGCGCTGGTAGCTCATTTTTAAGCGCTGGTGGTCTGTAATCAGAACCACACGATTAACATGATATAAGAGGAAGGCTCTACTAGCCTAAAGTAAGTAAACTAATAAATTAACTTAAATATGTAACTGGTGTGATTGACTGTGTGATAGGCCTAACACTAGTCAATAGTCAATTTAAATAAAAATAGCGCACTGTTACAGAATGGCGACCGCAACGTGGGGCTATTTCAATTAGGCCAAAGTTAAAGTAAATATTTTCATTTTTGAGGTGTTGCCTTCCGGATTACTTAACAATATTATTCTATAGGTTAAATACCTTATTGTTGCCAATGTAATCCACTGTCGTCAGGATGGCGACTGGTTTCGACACTCATGTTGTCATTGTCAAGCCTTAAAGACGTGTTGTCACTCCTAGGAGCTCGTCATAAAGTCTTGAAAACAAATACACGAGACACGCACAAACATATTTACAAATAAATAAAACAGCATGGCCATACAAGAACACTAATTTTCACGGCGCGGCTGTGGGTTCAGGGTGTAGGTCTAGACTTACACTGTGGACACAGTGGATTACAGTGGCACCAATTAGGTATTTAACCTCTAGGATAATTAAAGTAAATAACTTAACTTATTTATCAAAATGAGATTGTGAATAGACAACCTGTGAGGTAACTTAGGCTAGGAAAAAGCAAATTAGAATTTAAAACATCCAAGTTAAAAGATTATTTAGGCCTAAGTAAGTTAAATGGAGTGTAGGTAGGCTAACTTAATAAATTACTTCTATTATAAAATACTGTGCAAAAATGTCGGATTCAGGAGATTCTACCAATTCTGATAAAATACCTTTAATAGAAATCAAAAATAACTTAGTAGGAATAAATAACATGGACAGTGGACCGGGAGACAACAGTCAGGTAGAATTTGAAGATGATGTAGCTAGATTAGATGCAAGTAGGCATAGTGAAAAACAAGTCAGTATGATGGTGCAATACAATTTCAATAATTGAAATTGTATTGAAATTTTTTTAATCGTTTGACATAGCTTGTAACATTAATTATTAATGTTACAAGCTATGTCAAACGATTAAAAAAATACCATATCTGAAAATGTCACTATCCTTAAAGAAGATCAAATTAAAATGAAGAATGAATTGTCATTAGAGATTAAGCAGGTTGCTAGCAAGTTAGAAGATATGATAGAACAACTAAATGAAAAGTTAGCTCAAACTAGAACAGAGTTTGACAGTAAGCTTTGTAAAGTAGATAATCAGGTTAAAGTTGACATTAGTGTTCAAAATGATGCGATTAGGACCATTGATAAAAATGTTAATGAAACTATGTCAAAACATAAACAAGATATGAATCATAGGTTGTATCAGTTTGAAATTAGTTCGAAGATAGGTACAAACAGACAAATGAACAGGTAAATGAATGTTTAACAAAAGTAAACTGTACTGTGGTGAAATGGATAGTCTAAAAAGTAAAGTCAGTCGACATTTAAAGATTTTTAGCGATCAGCTTAAATCAGTTGAACCAACATTTGTTAGTAATAGGAGGGTAGGTAAGGTAGGCCTATGTGTTAACGCTGAGTTAATGTTGATTGATTTTAATGTGAATGGTAAAGAAGTACATCCTATGTATTTTTTGCATTTTGCAAACAAGTTTGTTGAAAATTGAGTCCAGACCCTTGGGAATCACAGATGTTGTTGATACTTAAGCACTTGCATGGTGAAGCAGAGCATTGGTTCCGTACATACTTAGTTAGTTGGGATAGTTTCAGTAAATTCGCAGCAGCATTCAAAGATAAGTTTTGGGGTAAAACAGAGCAGCATAAGTTTGTATGTGACCTGATGGGCAAAGGAGATTTTCAGGGGGGTAAAACTGACCTGGTTAGTTATGTAATGAATTATTACACAAAATGCACATATTTGGACAATGACATTAACATGCGTACTTTCATTAACTACATAAGTAACCACTTGCCAGAAAGTATAGGAGCAGCGTTAGTAACATCCGCGAATGTTAACACAAAAGAAGAACTAGAGTATTGTTTGGTAAACCTAAATGCGATTAATCACAATAAAAATTTTCACAGTACCAGTCTCAATAGCAGTAGTAAGGAGGTTAGGGATTATAACCATAGAGAGGGGCAATACCATCAAAACAATAGATCTAATGGCAACAGTTTCCGTCCTTGGAATAATAACAGGGGAAATAATAGAGAGTTTAAAGAGGTTCCAGTAGAAATTCGTGTTGGTAATGTAGGCCCACACAATGACAGACAATGGTGTGGTAATGGGAATAAAATGAATGATGAGGAAAAGAGGGGTTGGCATAATAGAGGACAGGGTAGGAATCAAAATATTAACAGTGCTGGTAATAGGTTCTCAGGAGGCAGGGAGGAAAACCAATGACTGGCGCGACCCACTAACACAGTAGAAACAAAAAATGTTAGACCTAGAGGTGATAATCCTAAATTCAAGGACTACCAACTGTTAGGCGATAGTAACATGGTTAGATTTGCTGAAAAAATGTTAAATTATAAAGCTAGTTATTTTAATGGTAAAAGAGTAGTAGGTGAATTTTGTGTTGGTGGGTTAACCATCGAACAGTTATTGGACAAAATATTGCTTCACCCGCAAAGTTTAGAAAAGAATATTACTGTATTTGTATGATAGGTAAGTACGAATAATTTATTGAAAGATGATGCGATAGATGATATGATATGGTCACTGCAATTGTTGTTGAAAGAGTTAATGAGGTTAAATATTAATGTAGTGCTACTAACAATTCCACCGATACCCAAACTACATAAGTATGATTAATCTCATTTTGATAAGCTATGGCAATATAACAGTTTCATTTGTGGGCTAAATAATAATAATAATATGAAAGTATTAGATATTACACCCATGTATTTGACAACAAATTTGAACCATTGTAGGCATGAACTGTTTGATAGGGAAATTTTCATTAAAGGGAGATATCAAATAGATTTAATTCATTTGAATCACAGGGGATTGATGCTACTGAGAAATAGGTTAGCAGAGGTTGTCGATACCACAGAAAACATACTACTATAACCCAGAATGCCAACCGCATGGTAAAAAGCATTAAGTGTTTTTAAAGAGAGCTTTGCCTGTCAATCCGTAGGCAGCGCCACCAGCGTTGCCATGCAATAGCGTTGCTGGTGGCGCTGCCTACGGATTGACAGGCAAAGCTCTCTCAAAACACTTAATGCAGGGGACCCTGATATAAGAAATGAGTTATTAAATGAGAGTAATTTCAATAAAGGTAATATCAAGTCTGTGTTTGAGCCATGCCCTGAAATAAATGTAGAATGTTATGGGAAGCCGGTAAGTTGTATTGTTGACTCAGGAAGTCAAACTAGCATAATATCTAAGAGTCTTTTTAATGAATTAAATGTATTGAATCAGCAAATATTAGTTTTGCCTGTTAGTAATTTGGCTATTATTGGCACTACATGAGTAAAATCTAAAAAGATTACCGCTCAAGTATGGTTAGATTTGAAATACAATGGAATAACCAGTCCCTGCGAGTTGCTTTGTGGTAGAAGGAGTTAATATAGATTTTATTTTGGGAAATGATTTTTTCAAACAATACAAAGCTAAAATAGGCTGGGAAAATAATAATTTTGAGTTGTCTCTTTGTAATGAAGAAATTAAAATTCCTTTTTCAAATGGCATCAGTAAGAGTAATCAGGACACAGGAAAATGGTTGAATAAGATAAGGATTATCGAAACTAGTTTTTTTAAATGTAACAGAGAATGAGAATGAATTTGAAATTACATTGAACCAGTTAGTACAAGCAGTTAGAACGGAGATAGTATCTAAGTCAGTACAGACAGAGTCTTCACAGTTTAAGGCCCGTTTTGCCAGAAGCGTCTCGTGCGTCTGACGCTCAGCGTCTATCGCTCCGCGTCAATCGCTGCCTACTGCTTTGCATTGTTTTAGGTTAGTCTATTTTGCCAGAAGCGTCTATCGCTACAGCCGCCAGCGTCTGTAACTGAGACGCAAGCGTCTGACGCGGACCACTGCTCCTGGAGCAGACGGAGACGCAGTCGCTAGCGATTATTACTGGAATAAGCACGTGTTTATAGTTGTTGACTTAACTTTTGTTTCCTTAAATAAGTTGTGTTTTAAAGTTTAGTGACATGTCACAAAGTGGGGATTCAATAGTGAAGAAGATGAAAACCCGATTGAAGCCATTTCAGCACACGACTGTTAAGTCAATTGTTAATTGAAAATCAATTAACAATTAAAAATATCCCTCATCAGGCCTCTTTAAAAACAAAAACATAGTACGCACTTCTTCCCTAGATTTGCACAACATTTCTAATATCTCATCATCGTCTAATTCGTCAGCTAACAAATACTTTACTATTTGCTTTTTACAGGTCATTTTCAGAAACACTCCTTTTGCCACCAAAGTAAACCACAGTCGCTGTGTTCAGCCGCTAGCCGCTCCAGTCGCAGTCGCGTCAAGGACAATGGTCCCTTTTGAAACAACGCTAACCAGTGCTCAGCTACTATCGCTGAGCTACTATCGCTCAGCTACTATCGCAAGAGTCGCTTCAGGGACAATGCACCTTTACTGATCAAATAATCGCAAGGAACAGACGCTTCTGGCAAAATAGGCCCGAGCGATAGACGCTGAGCGATTATCGCTGAGCGTCGGACGCACCAGACGCTTCTGGCAAAACGGACCTTTAGGTTGCCAGAGCAAAATTTTGGTATCAGTCAATATGATGAGTAAGTCTAAAGATAATGAAGGCATTGTTGAACAATAATTAAAGGAAACATGTAATTTAATAAGTAAACTCAATGACAATGATCAGCAAATAACAGTAGATAAACTACAGGAGGTATTAGTTTAAAATGTAGAAGTATTTTCAGATAAACCTGGTTGTATGAAAGACACAGAGATAGTTTTAAATTTGAAAGATGATAAAGTGTTTTTGGGGAAACCATACCCAGTACCTTTTAGTAAACGCAAGGCTGTGGAAGCTGAATT